AGCTTAATGAAGCAGTTTTGGTGTATAGATCATGCCCTGCAGTCTCACTGCTTATGTCTCGGTTTGTTTTGTTTTTGCATTACAATATGCAAGCAGTGACATGTATGAGTGAAATATACCCCATTTTTCATCAGTAAGGGCAAAGCAAGATGTCAGCTATAAAGGAGTAAACATGAGACATAGAATGCTCCGTGTAATATATCAGAGTGAATTATAGCAGACTTAGCAGTAATTACAGCCACTCACACGGTTCAGAGCAGTCGATTGGCTCTGTAATATAAAACACACAGGTGCCACTTCACGAGCTAAAACAGACAGGAACCAGTCAGTAATCCAAAATAAAAGAAAATGTATTGTACAGATATTAAACAAGCACAGGATAGTTACATAGGCGGAAAAGATACACGCATCCATCAAGTTCAGCCTCACATTTGTTTTTGCAGTCGATCTAAAAGAATGGAAAAAACAAAAACAAAAACAGTTTGAAGCATTTCCAGTTTTGCAACAAACTAGAAAAAAATTCAGCTGAATGGCAGTCAGATCTCTCCTTGGATCAAGAACCTATTAAAATGATATCCCTGTATATTATGTTTTAGAACTTTACAAACAATGTTGAAACAATAACAAAATATCACAACTTCATGAATGGAATATTTCCGGTCACATGATCAATCTTCGGTCAGGTCACATGATTACTGCCACGCAATGATTTCACTAAGTTCCGTTGTACCGTATGTCTTCCCAACATTACATCACATCGTGGCCATCTTGGATACCTGGAACACCATTTTTCTTTTAAGGCAGTACTTGGAAATAAATATGCCTTTACTCACACAAAAAAAGTATAAACCAACGTTAGAACAGATGAGATACAATTCTGATATGAAAGTTGAGAACAAGAATAAAAAAACATATAAAGAAAAGACTAAAAACTAAATAAAAAATATATACAATAACTGAAAAAAAAGGAAGTATATCAAAATACTCTCCAAAAATGTTTTAATATCAGCCTACTAAATACTATAAAGGTATTAAAGATGCCCGTGTGGCGAGTATACTGTCATAGACAGAAAACCTGTGCTAGAATCCCGGAAGTGCCCTCTAGTGGCTGTCTAGTAGACAGCCACTAGAGGAGGAGTTAACCCTGCAAGGTAATTATTGCAGTTTATAAAAAACTGCAATAATTACACTTGCAGGGTTAGGAGTAGTAGGAGCTGGCACCCAGACCACTCCAATGGGCAGAAGTGGTCTGGGTGCCTGGAGTGTCCCTTTAAGTAAAGTTCAGTACTCACATGGTTAAAACTACAGTGCAACTATCTTGGACCAGGGCGCATGTGTGGAATGTCAGGAACGCCCACTATTAGAGAACACGTGTAAGAGATACGTTTCAGTTTAGTAATTGGATGTAACCATAGAAATGTAGGTGTAATTTCTGTATTTTATGTATACGTATGGAATACGTCATTTACAGTATATATTCTCTGTTTGGAAACTGACCAGTGCCCAGTACATCGTGTTCTTTATGATAAAGGTGCTGGGACTTTGCAGCTGCAAACTAATAAAGAGCCTTTGCTTTTCAACGACCTGTGTGTCTGGACTGTCCTCGTTTCTTATCTAACCTGAGTGGGTTACCACAAGAGCATCGTTGATATTGTGACGGTTTATATCATAAAGATTGCCAGATCGACAATGTTTCTCTGGTTACCAGTAGATTTTCAGGCTGTTGGACAGCAAATTAAAAGTGTTGCCCTTCGGTAGGTAGCATTAATAGGCAACTAATGTCAGACAAATCAATTTCACGGGCGGTTATGTATAAAATTGTCACATTTGCTTTCACGTTTGGCAGGCTTGCTCCATCCTTTAAATATTTGGAGCATTTGTTTCCCTATCTTTTTTTGTAATGAACCAAAACAGTCAGATCGTTTTCCCTTTTCCCCCCTGATAATGTAACCATTTTATGACAGACAACGTTCTAGGGCTGTCATGATATCAATCAATTGGCTTAACTTCTTATCATGAAGGCGTTCATGATTTTGGAGTCTGTAGGAAGGAATGCCTTTAATCAACACAGATTACCCAATTAAAACTCAGAGTCTAGGCGACCCACCTGTATTTGTACAGTGATACGATTACACTCCATATTCATGGCCTAAGAACAGAGCTGTATTTAGGTTGCCCTTGTCCTTAGGTAGGGTGCAAGATTGGGGTCCTAGAGCCATGGGCTCTGTTTTTGTGAGTGGGGTGTGTGTTGGCTGAGTGTTTTGTGTCTGTGTAGTGGGTAGAGTGTTGTAGAGGAGGCTGATCGCTGTATGGGGAAGGTTGAGTGTCTGTGTGTGCTGGTTAAGTGTTGTGTGTGTGTTGGCTGAATTATGTGTGTGTGCATTCTGAGTCATTGAGCAGCACTGGAGGGGGACTGCAAGGGCACTTTTTAAGTGATATAATAGTGAATGAGCTCAGGGCCATGGATGGAAATCTTTTAAACTCTCTGTCTTAGCCCAGTCCCTAGATGGCTGCCTCGATAACCTACGTACTGCTATAAATGGCTTAATCTATTATTTTCAATTATTGCCCCCTTCCATATCTTATTTATTTTTATTTTTTTTATTTTCCAAAACCTTTAAAATAATGGAAAAAATTTACCTTGAATAAATTCCGAGAACCACTCCCCACTTACTTCCAAACCACATCACCCATTCCCAGTCTGAGGTCCAATCAAATGCTTCTCATAACAAGCATTGTTGGTCTATGGGCGCATGCGCAGCAAGTGTCCTGACCCGCTTATCAGCTACTTCTGCAAGCTTGTGCCATGCGTGCTGACGATGGACATTTGTTAAGTACAGAACTTAAATTAGTCAGAGCTGACTAGGGTAGTTAATGTATGCCGGAGTAGTGACTACCCTCTGGCAAAGATTTACAAATTTCTCTGTATGGGCAGTGTTATAAGCTGAAACATAGCACATACTGACTGCTTGCACCATGACCACTTCTAAAAGCAGAAGTAGCCATGGTGGTTAGAGTAACCATTTATTGATTAAACACTGCCCCGTGACACCTGCCTTTATTTATTATCTTTTTTACTTGTGCCATATCCAAATATCTGGCAGTCATTTTGTTCTCATCTATTAATGATCATAATGCCCAAGTGTCCCTATTTACAAGGGACAGTCCCTATTATAGGCCCAAATACACCGGTCTATTTCTTCTGTCCCTCTTTTCTAGGAGCTCCATATTGTTGGTGCGTCTGAGTGTGTAACAGAGCTCCACAACAACAATACTCACAGTAATGTGTCTTTAAACTACAATAAATGTGTTAAGAAATTAGACTGTGTAAATAAGATACATTGTTCTTGATCTAAATTACATTTTATTTCCATAAATTGTTATTAATAAAGTATATAGTCACCAGAACAACTTTAGCTTAATAAAGCAATTTTGGTGTATAGATTATGCCCCTGCAGTCTCACTGCTCAATGTACTGCCATTTCATCCACCTGGAGTGACAGCCATGAGGGAGGTCCACTCAGCATGCCTCTCCTGGCTGTGAACTACCCCAAAATATAGTGCAGCTGACGGCGTAGTCACGCTTCTCTGAATGTTCAGGGGGCATTGACTTAGGGACTAAGTCATAATTCACCTCTCTCCATTTAACTATCTTTCAACGTGATGAAATGACACGTCAGGCAGAGGAACATGAATACTTTACCTCCAATACAAGGTTGTTTGTGAGGTTAGAGGTGGATATATTAAAAATGGAGGGGATGGACAGACAGACATTGGAAGGTGGACAGACAGAGGATGGGGGGGATGGACAGAGAATGGAGGAAGAATCATGTGAAAATGAGGGTGGACAAGCCGAGAATGGATGTGGGGGTGAACAGACAGAATTAGCACAAATAGTAGGAGACATAGCTGGGGAGAGACAACAGTGAGACATAATTCTGGGAGAGATGGGGTTTTAATACTGAAGTGTCTTTGTTCGCTAGACTACAATAAACCACATCCGCAATGGACTGTCAAGGAGGGGTGCAATGTACAAGTCCACCCCACATGCCCTAGATTCATTTTTGGTTCGGAGGTATGCATGATGTCTGTAGTTTGACCTTCTGTGGGTTTGATTTTATTGTGGGTACATTTAACCCCTTAAGGACACATGACATGTGTGACATGTCATGATTCCCTTTTATTCCAGAAGTTTGGTCCTTAAGGGGTTAAACAAGACAGATCCTTACCTTAAGCTGCGCCACAGGAGGGTTGGCTACATTTGGCCAAACCAGCACTGTCACAACAGGCTCCACTCCTTTACTTAATGGGCTACTCCAGGTACTATGACCCCTTCGGTGATTTGAAGTGGTTATGGTGCATGGAATCTGTATTGCTGTGAAATGCTACACATATATTCAATTCACTTTGAATTTTTGACTATATGCACTTTAGTGAATAACTCTATAAATATTTTATACTAATACTGCAATAACTGGGGTGTAATTATAATAACAAAATATAGTTACAGAAAATGTTCAGCATTGTCCAATGATGTAGCAGTCCACAAACCTCTCTATACTAATGTCCAAGGGGTAAATGCCCCCCTGCCAGCCCTCCCGTGAGCCCTGCGGCTTCCTATTTTTAAATTTGGCAACTGGACTGCTAATGCATAAAGGTAACAAGTCTGTTTTACTTTGTGTATGTCAGGAAAAATAAAAATCAAAAAAAATTTGATCACAGGTGTTAATGTATATAAAAAAAAAATGGCACTTGCAGGCCATTAGACTTTTTAGGGTCACTTTTATACTATGCACATCCCAGGGTCTTTTGGCACAAGCTCAGCTGTTCAATCAGATATCCTGGGTGATCCATGTGCAAGTGATCAGGACAGATTACCCCAGCCCTAAACACCAGTGGGATAATAAACCTTAGCTTTCAAGGGGCCAAAATGTGGATTCTGATGTGAAAACAACTTTTTACTAAAAATCTGCTTTTGGTTTGGAGAACGTTTTTGGAAAATGGATGGAGAATCCTCTCTGGAGAGATATTTAGACCAATGTGACGCTGAGGTAACAGAGTGCAGATGGATTGGTGATTAGAAGCGGTGTGCATAGTATCTACATAGCAGTATATAGCATTGCCATAAATCAAGCCTGTCGTACATTGGGTTACTGGCATGTTGGCAGGGTTACTATGTAAAGTGGGAGCGGTCAAGAATTTAAAGAGAATTTCAAACTTTAGGCCAATATATACTGAAAGCATTGCTTACTCCATTAGTTTCCAGTTTAGCTGTTTCAGACAAAAAGATTACATTTGTTCTTGAATACTCATTAATATATTGGTTAATAAAACTACAGGCATCAAGAATTGACAGCAATTAAATATTTAGTGGAATATATATATATATTGCACAAGATCCAGAGCACTCACTCATCCGCTAAACAGCAACTTCAAAGCTCACAGATTTTAGTATTTAAAAAAAAAAAGTCCTAAGCTAAAATAATAGGGGGTTTAGTTACAGTTTATGATCATACATTGAAGCCTGCCACAATGTCAATGTACCCCATCTTTGGCAGGTCCTACTCCAACAGCCTAATGTCTGCTCTTATGAGATTAACCCACTTACTTGGAGAGAAGCTTTCCATCTGGGGCTCTCTGCAGTACAAGGCTAAATAGGGCCCTGGGATGAGGCACCTGTACCCTGTGAGATATATACTACTGACTGTCTTAAAGGGACACTATTGGCACCCAAACCACTTCATCTCATTGAAGTCTTCTGGGTGCAGTGTCCCAGTCGCCCCTTAATCTTGCAATGCAAGTTAGAAACTTCAATAATTACATTGCAGAGCTAATACTGCCTCTAGTGGCTGTCAATCAGACGGGCACTAGAGGCACTTCCTGCTTGCTAGGCAACCTTTGGTCGCCTAACTGACGCTGGATGTCCTCATGCGCATTAGCCCCCGCCCATCACATGGCACCTTCACCACAACATGTTTGTGCCAGGTCCTGTGGTAAAAGAAATCTCATCTTTGAACTCTTCAATTACTTAAAGGAATAATAAGATGGTAATACTTGAGACTTTTATATATGCAACACATATCAGTGTATTTTTTTTTTTTTTGCATTGGCACATGAGAATATGGATGCCCTAATGGACGAATCTGGGTATTTTGCCATTTTAGGGCTGTCATTGGTTTACCTCATTGGAGGTCTCATTGGCCTTCATACACAGCATACCACAGTTTTTTAAAGCTGCTCTTCCCAAAAAAAAAAGAATTTCATGAAGATAAAATCTTTATAAAACACTCATAAAAAAATGCCGATTATTGACTGCATTGAAAATCCAATGCAGCTAAAATATATTAAAAGACAATGTAAAGATTACAGAGAGACTATCTAAGGAGGGTCTTGTGCCAGAGAACAACACTGGCGTGGGCTCCTTACCTGTAGTTGAAGAAACAAGATGGCAGCACCCTTGGGGTACAGGATCAGGTAAATCTAAATCACCACAGCTGCACCCCCGGGACCACCGCATCCCAAGCAGCAATGACCAAACTACTTTAAAGAACTCTACCAGCAAACACTGGTATTCATTTTGGAAACATGTCTACATTGTTTGAATGTTTCATGGTGATTTTGTTTTTTTGTTTAGGATGTCAATCCATCAACTCCCAGCATATACACCCCCACTGCATTTGATGATTTGCAGCCAGTTCCTGGAACGTCCTATTCCTCGTTGCTTGATCAGTCAAAAGAGCTTTCCTCTGACTTTTCGTTTGTAGACCTGAGCTTTCTCCCTGATGACTTGAATCAAGACCACGAAGAGAAGAATGAACATAACGACGAGCAATACCCAACGCAATCTGCAGAGCAGGACAGTGGAATATGCTTAAATGAATCTGGACTGTCCCAACCGTACACCCCTTCCGAATGTAGAGCTCATTCACAAGATACTTCGAACTTGTGTCCAATGCCGATCACGCCCATGACCCCAATTACTCCAAAGACCCCAATTGCTGAAATATCTGGCATAGTCCCTCAGCTGCAGTAAGTACTGCTTTATCAGCTGTTGTTCTTGATGGTTAATTACCCATATCCGTGTATGAAATATGACCATTTTTTTGGGATACATTTTTCCTTCTGGTTTCTGCAACAAAAAGTATCCTGTGAACATCATCCAGTATGATGCTTTTTTTATTTTTCCTGTTTTTGTACTAATTTGTATTTTCATGAAAATGGTTAAAGGGACTCTCCAGTGCCAGGAAAACAATCCGTTTTCCTGGCACTGCAGGTCCCCTCTCCCTCCCACCTCCCAATCTCCGGTTGCTGAAGGGGTGAAAACCACTTTAGTCACTTACCTGAGACCCCCGCCGATGTCGCTCGGCGGTGGTTTTGGGTCGCCGCCGCTCCTCCTCTTCATTACGCCGGGCGGTGGGCAAGACTGATCCCGCTCGCTGGCCGCGGAGACCTAATGCGCATTAGAGCTCTCCTGCTCTCCAATGCTTTCCTATGTGGAATTGAGCGACGCTGGAGGACCTCACACAGCGTGAGGACGTCTAGCGACGCTCTAGCACAGGTTTTCTGTGCTATGGACCAGGAAGTGCAATCTAGTGGCTGTCTAGTGACAGCCACTGGAGGTGGAGTTAACCCTGCAAGGTAATTATTGCAGTTTATAAAAAAAACTGCAATAATTACACCTGCAGGGTTAAGGGTAGTGGGAGTTGGCACCCACACCACTCCAATGGGCAGAAGTGGTCTGGGTGCCTGGAGTGTCCCTTTAAGACTACTTTTACATATCTTCCCCTCCCCCCCCCTTACTTTTCAACTCTCTAACTTTCCCCTTCCCATATTTCTTTACTCTAAAATCATCCCCCCCTTTACCTATAATTGTGCTAATCCTTACGTCGCCATCTTCTTAAGAATTGTCAGTGATGTAACGTCTTGTTCTTTTTAGAAATATTGTGTCTACGGTGAATCTATCATGTAAACTAGATTTGAAGAAAATTGCCCTGCATGCCAGAAATGCAGAATATAATCCAAAGGTAAGATTTGGAATAGAATGCATTTATTTTATGCATGGGGATGGAATATTTAATACAAATTTATTTATTTTATGCATGGGGATGGAATATTTAATAAAAATGTATTTATTTTATCTTGGCATTAGAGATTTGCTGCAGTAATAATGAGAATTCGAGAACCAAGGACAACGGCGCTTATTTTTAGCTCTGGAAAAATGGTCTGCACAGGGGCAAAGAGGTAAGTGGGCACCAGAACTGCCAACATGCGGTTTAGGGATCAGATATAATGGTGACTGCAAATAAACGGTGCAGATATCGGCCTGATGGAAACGGGGACACCCTCGTCATCCAGTCCTTTCTGTCCGGCAATGCAGCTTCATTGATGGATAGATCCTGAAAGTGTTCTTCCAAGAATTACAACCAATACGGCCGGCTACAGTGGTTATGATGCTAGGAGTACCCTGGCAGCAATACCCAAGTAATGGGGTGTGGGCACCATTTTGTGACAGTTTAACTGATGTCAGCCAAAAAGTTAAGCCTTATAGAGCTTCTGGTTGGAAAAGGGGGAGCCCTGAACAACAGGTAAGAAGTCAAACCATTCTAAAACGGCTATTGTGCCTGGAATGTTTCTTTTGTTGCGATACATTGCACTATTAATAAATTATCCTTTTTGGGGGGCGTGTCCTGGCGGGGGTACCGAACGGTCGCATGAACTGAGCGCTCCGCTCCGACGGCACCCACAAAGGAGCAATCCGGCTATATAGCCGGAAAAGAAAAACGGGGCCCCATACACCCCAGTAACCATGTCCCAGGCTAAAGGGAAGAGGCAGGCTGATAAGGCAGAACGGAGCGCATTTTTTGCCGCGCGGTCACAACAGGGGAGACAGACCTTGCAGGGAGAGACCCAAGATGGCGCTGAAGAGGCTGAAACACAGCAGCACACTGAATCTGCAACGGACACTCCTATCACACAGGAGATGATGCGGGCAATGTTAGATGAGATGTCTGCAAGGATAGAAAACAGCTTTAAAGCCACAATTGGGGCACTACATAAAGACCTAAGAGAATTGGAGGTGAGAACTGCTGGGACAGAATCCAAAATGGCAGAGCTACACGTGGCTCATAGAGAAATGGAGGAGGGGCTGACAGGGCTACACGACCAAATGCAGCGGTACGAGACGAAGCTTGCGGACATTGAAGACAGGGCACGCCGCAATAACCTGCGCATCCGTGGGGTGAGTGAGGAGGTGGGACCCACGGAATTGGCGGCCTACTTGACGAGCCTGCTAAAAATGCTAGCGCCTGACGTACCACATGACATGCTGCTCATGGACAGGTTCCATCGGACCGCTAAGCCCAGCTTTCTCCCTCAGGACACCCCAAGAGGCATTCTTATCAAAATGCACTACTACCATGTGAAAGAACTGGTGCTTCAGGCAAGCCGCCAGAAGAAAACACTCCCAGATCCATATGACGGGCTGCTGCTATTTGCAGACATATCGACATTCACGTTGAAACGTAGGAGAGAATTCAGAGGTGTCACAGAACAGCTCCGGCTCCACAAGCTGCCATACCGCTGGGGTTACCCAGTGAAAATACTGGTGTCCAGAGAAGGAAAAGTGTCAGCTATCAACACGCCAGAAGAAGGAGCAATACTACTCCAAAGATGGGGACTCCCCAAGCCAAGCCAACAACACAGCCCACAGAGGACCCGCGGATCCTCCAAAGACTGGAGAAACTCCAAAAGACCGACATGAAAGACGTCACCGCAACTACGGCATCCCTGCGAGCTCTTCCACAGTGACTATTGAGAGACTGGTCCTGATAAATAGACCATGGAGTCAACCAGGGGTATTGTATTAGCCATGTCTAATGTTTTGCCACAGTTTAATATATGTTTGTACAGGTATAGACTGCACAATTCTTAGTGGCTCCCTACAGGGGCATTACTACCCGGCTACAAGCCAAAAAAAAAAAAAAAACACTCAGTAAGCCATAGAGTGGGTTGCACCGGAGACTACCCCCCCACAGGAAGGAAGCTACCACTTCCGCCTCCACAGGTCCAGAGAGTACCTAAGCCGAAAATGGCACACCAATCTGTTATACACCTGTTTCATATGTTTTCCCAGTTATCACTTTATTTCCCTTCCCACCCCGGTCTAGCTGGGACCAGGCGATCCACACCCTCTACCCGGTACCCACAGGGAATCCACACCGCTGGCCAAGCTCACCAGCTCCTAATTCCTACAAGGGTACCCATGACAGCCCCACCTCCTTTCACTCGGCAAGGGAGATATGCCCGAACCCAACCCTCAACCAGGGGAAGGTCGCTCGTCTCGATGCTGCTGGGGCGAGCAAACCCCCCGTACTCACTCTTGCACAATTCTGCAACCCTTACCAAATCCGTTGGGTATAGACCTCCATGAAAAAATTTTCTCTGAATGTACGAGGGTTAAACCTACCGGTTAAGAGACACCAACTATATAGAGAACTCAGGGAGACGGATGCGGACGTCATCTGTCTCCAAGAGACTCATTACAGAACTGACAATTTTATCCCGCCAACAGTTACTGACTACCCACACCAATACCACGCAACATCCCCCACGAAATCTAAAGGGACGTCTATACTGATCTCTAAGCGGGTGGCATTTACCATGCTCTCCACAGAGACGGATACCAATGGTAGATACGTAATCTTGAAATGCACCATTAATAGCATGACATATACAATTACTAACCTATACTCACCCAATACACTGCAAGACACGTTCCTTCGACAAATACTACGGAAACTAGAATCGATACGGGAAGGGGTGTCCATTATTTGTGGAGACTTTAACCATGTCTGGGACCCAAAACTAGACACAAATATTTCAAGACACAGTCCAAGGTACAAAATACTCCACAGACAGTGTAAAAAGCTACAGAAACTCCTCTCCCTTCACCATTACTATGATACCTGGAGAATATCTCACACCTCGGAGCGGGCGTATACACATTTCTCCCATGTACACAATACATACTCAAGGATAGACGGGTTTCTCATACAGGGACAAGGACTTAACCAAATCACAGACTGTGACATAGGACAGATTACGTGGTCAGACCATGCACCGATCACGCTGTCGGTGAAGGACCAATATGACTATAAGCACCGAAGCCCGTGGCGGCTGAATGTCTCCTTGTTGAACGACTTGACATTTACGAAAGAGGTAGAGGAGACTTTGTTAAATTACTTTAGAGAGAACGCTACCCCAGGAATGTCCCAGGGCACACTGTGGGCCGCACACAAATCTGTAGTTAGGGGTATTTTTATTAGAAGGGCGGCATACCTACATAAAAAATCCTCAGCCCAGACCGCGGAATGGCAGAGAGAATTGTACCAACTAAACACACGCAACCAAATCTCCCCATCTACGGAGCTTAAACTACAAATATCCACTATTACTCGCAAATTACACCAAAAGGCGATAGAACAGACAGGATACAGGCTCCAGAGATTGAAAATGACACAATACACACAGGGGAACAAAGCTAGTAGACTACTGGCAAGGAGATTACAAGAACGTAGGGCGAACCAAAAAATCGCTTTCCTTATGTCCCGTACAGGTGAGACGAAAGTTATTCCTACAGACATTTGCAACGAATTTGCCAGCTACTACGCAGACCTGTACAACATACACAAACATGACACCACATTTCAGCCCACGACGGAACACATCAATGCGTACCTAGATACAGTGGACCTCCCGAAACTCACGACCCAACAAGCGACAGATCTCATTAAACCCATCACAGGGGACGAAATCCAGACTGTTATAAAAAACCTACCAAAAGGCAAAGCCCCAGGCCCAGACGGACTAGATAACACCTACTATAAAAAATTCAGTCAAACACTGATACCTCACCTAGTGCACGCTTTCACAGAGGCGACAGCCACACAGAAACTACCGCAAGACTCACTACTGGCCCATATTATTACGTTACAAAAACCAGGGAAGTCACCCACCATCCCCCAAAATTTCAGGCCCATCTCCCTGCTCAATACGGATGCGAAAATCTTCGCCAAGCTATTTGCGATGAGACTGAGCGCCCTACTCCCCCAAATAATCCACACAGACCAGGTAGGATTTGTGTCAGGGAGACAGGGAGCAGATAACACGCGCAAGGTATTAAACATACTGCATAGCCTACCCAGACTATACAAAGGGGGAGAAGTTATCATCTCCCTAGACGCCGAAAAGGCATTCGACCGCCTGCACTGGACATTCCTAGAGGCGGTCATGGCAAAATTCGGTGTGCCAGGAGAATTCAGGGCAGCAGTCAAAGCGTTATATAGCGCCCCGAGGGCACAAGTGCTCAACGCGGGCTTCCTATCCAACCCGTTTAGCATCTCGAATGGCACGAGGCAGGGATGCCCCTTGTCCCCTCTGCTGTATGTTCTAGCTTTAGAGTCATTAGCATCTAAGATTAGGTACCATAGTTCCATACATGGAGTGCGCATAGGGAACAAGGAATACGAAGCCAGTATGTTTGCGGACGACGTGCTCCTGACCTTAACGCAACCGCTGATTTCAATGCCACACCTATTGACAGCGATAAAGGAATACGGAGATAGTTCGTACTATAAATTAAATGTGTCCAAAACACAGGCCATGGGAATTGGGTTACCTGAGAGCACACTACAGGAGTTGCAGGGGAAGTTTGTGATGGACTGGAGGATGGAAAGCGTTTCCTTCCTGGGAATTAAGTTAACTAAAACAATAGGGGGACTGTTCAAGGCCAATTACGAAGCCCTACAAAAAGAGATGGAAGCTAGTTTGGTCTCTTGGAAAGACAAATACATCTCCTGGGTGGGGAGGATGGCAGCTTTTAAAATGTCCATTCTCCCTAAACTACAGTACCTTTTTAGAACGTTGCAAATAGCTCTTCCAGCCTCCTACTTAAACAAAACACAGTCAATGCTCACAAAGTTTGTATGGGCACACAAACGAGTGAGGATAGCGGCCAAATACCTATACAGACCGGTTCACCAAGGGGGTCTAGCCTTACCAAATATTAAACTTTATTATCAGGCAACATTACTAGCCCCAGTGTTAGGGATACAACTACCAGCCCCTATTCCACAATGGTTAGAAATCGAAGACCACTGGCTTCAAGGGACAGACCTCCGCAGATTGTTGTGGGTACCTAAACTAATGCGCCCCACCCAACCCCATATCTTACCCACCACAAAGACATTACTGATGACATGGGACAAAACACATCAGACGTTGACCTCTATGACTCCGTGGTCACCGGCAACACCATTGCCCTGCCTTCATGTAGCGAACAACACATTTGACTATAGGGAATGGACAAAGAGAGGCTGCACACATGTGAGGGACCTCCTAGAGGCACAAAAGGTGCTACCGTTCCTGGACATACAGAAAAAATTCAACCTCCCCCCCAAATTGATATTTCCATACCTTCAGTTAAAATCTATGCTGGGGACACAAGCAACCACAGGAGAGGGGAAAAACTCGCTCACGGAGTTTGAAAGTATCTGCCTAAACACTAAGCTAAAGAGGGGAACGATTTCCAAGTGCTACTCACTACTAAACCTAGGCGACCCAGTACATTTAGACAGATTCAGTGAAGCCTGGCAGGCAGACCTGGGGAAACATTTTGATGCAGCTCAATGGAAAAACGCGACCACAGCACATAAAGGAAAGACATCATGCGCATCACACCTAGAGTTAATGCGAAAGATACACTACAGGTGGTACATGGTGCCGGTGCGACTGGCAAAAATTTACCCAGGAACATCAGCCAAGTGCTGGAGATGTGGGGGTGCAGAAGGCAAGATGTACCACATCTGGTGGTCTTGTGAGGTACTACGACCCTATTGGGGGATGGTAGAAAACATGCTAAATGAGACAATAGATGTCAGTACTACACTCGCCCCAGAAACAGGCTTATTGTTCATGCATATGTCCAGATTCCGGGGAAGTGAGGCAATTTTAGTTTTCCACACCATAATAGCGGCACTAACGCTAATAGCCAGAGAATGGAAGACAGACTCCGCACCGACGAAACAAGCCCTAAAAAGGCAGATTACCATCAACCTACAATATGAACTAGTGTCCAGGAAAAATTTAGGCAATGCACACAGGTTTGAGGAAGCGAAAAATAGGTGGGAAGAAGTAAACAGGTCCGGGGAGATCAGGAATGGAGTCTGACCCTAGTGTCATGTGAAGTAGGAGAATACTCCGACTCTATAAAATCCCTCCGCTAGGCCAAGCACCAGTACAAGGTCAGCAGTAAGAGACCCCATGCGACCAAGGGAAATCCAGAGGAAGGGACCCCTTGGGGACGAAAGGTGATAGATAGGAATCACGGGACAAATGGGTGAATCGAGAGTTTAAATCACAAACAGTGGATGAACAGCAAAGTACCGGTAGGAGAAAACGGGCATGTTAAATCCATTTCCCCCCCCCCTTCCCATCCCCTCCTCCAGCTGGTTTCTTCCCCCCCCCCACCCATTTAGGAACAGTAACACGAAACGAGAGAATGCATCCATCTAGTGCAGGGGTGACACTAAGGAGGAGCCAAGGCAAAGCAGACTAGCAGAGGAAGACAGATGCAGGTCCCAGAATGTGGGCTGGCGAGTGAGGAGAAAGTAGACAATGGATAATTATGCCCCAGTGGAACAGTGCAAAATGTAAAATGTATCATGTAAAGTTGGATGGCATGTAACTCGAGAATATGATATATGATGTTCCTACCCCCCTCCCTCTCTTTATTCTGTATCCCAAGTTTGCATTGAAGAAAAAGGAAAATAAAAATTGTCAAATTGGAAGAAAAAAAATTATCCTTTTTAAAAAAAAAAAATAATAATTTTGGTCAGATACACGGATAGATACTTCCAGACTAATTTAACTAGGATCAATACAGACACTAGGTGGCGGTGTAATACCTATATATTTTTATTTATTTTTCACGTGCTGAGCTTCGATAATTCTCTACCACCTTTTTAGCAAACTAGCCAAACACAAAATAGTTTCAATCCCCATCTGGGACTTTTATCAAGATAAATAATGTTATCTGTAACCGTGTTTTATTTAAAACACGAAACAATCTAAAAAAAAGATTTGATTAATCGAATGAGAGGGAAGGGGACAAGGTTTGCACACAAAAAAAAATAAACCAGCTGAAATGGGATATACATCCAACAGACCATGGAAAGCAGTGGCTGAATAAAAAGGAGTAACATTGTGACACTGTGTCCTTTGCCACTATAAAATAATTGGTACGTACGCAAATCGAAACACTGCTGTAGAGAAGAAAATGAACTCAAGGCCTCAAATGAACAAAGCAATATGAATAGAGGAACAATGTCCCCTGATTTGGTCACACAGTTCCGTGGACATATTATTTACAAAAATGAGTTCACGTGGGCAAAAAATTCTATAGACAAAGTCAGTCAGGGGTGGAGGAAGTCCCTACCATGGCCATGAGGCCACATGCGGTACAGCCAAGTCACCTCTAGCACCCTGGACTGGCAAGCTCCTGTTTGACATGTGGATCCGGTCATTTTGGACCAGAATGTGTCTGAGGTTGGCTCCTCTTTTGTAGCTTGTCAATGGTGGTGTGATAAGACGGGGAAAATTCTCATTCCAATTTAACAAGCTCCGATCTTCGTGATTAATCCTGCATAAGACTGATGAACAAGTGTTAAGGTTTGTACACACACTGTTCTTCTGTCTTTGTTGGAGGGATTATCTGGTGGAGATTCTGCATGGCATCTAGCGTTCATCAATGTTTTAATCCAGGATCCGAGGAATGTAACCTCTTTTCTTTCATTTAGTGAAGAACAGTCCCGGCTGGCAGCGAGGAAGTATGCCAGAATTGTACAGAAACTGGGATTTCCAGCCAGGTTTCTTGACTTTAAAATCCAGAATATGGTGGGAAGCTGTGATGTAAGGTTCCCAATCCGACTTGAAGGTTTGGTATTGACTCATCAGCAGTTTAGTAGGTAAGTGTTCTTATTTCCCACCCTCTGTATATAGAAGGAAATATAAACATGTTAAAGCAGTACATCTGAACTGATTTTTATGGGAAATCTATAGTGGTGGATAATTCATCCCTAAATTCTTACCCAAATAAACTCTACAGCGTGCCGCATTCTGCAGATTCTGGTAATTCATTGATTTATTGCCGATGGTTATTGGGGGTACCTGATGCTCTCTCTATTTAAACTGTAGTCAGATGCTAGAGAGGTGTTGTCCTAAAATAGAACTCATTAATTGCCCATAACTCTAGATGGATTCAGCCATGATACAATCTAGAGACTGTCATCAAGTAATCTAAATACATAGTGTATACAGAGCTTAGTGAATACCCCGACTGATCAGTGATCTCTAAACCTGCAATAAGAGCTCGGTGGCATTTCAAAGTTCAGGAAAATTAAACATTTTTATTAAAATTGATGTACAGAGGTGGTCTTTTCATGGGACATAGAAAACATAATGCATTGGCCTTAATATCACTGGGCAGGTGGAAGACAAGATTGTGTATTATACAACTATTCTACTATGGTATAACATATTAACATATCAGTGGGTGCTAATTAGACTTGCCTTTAAAAAACGCTCCAATGTAATTATCTTGTTTTGTTTGTTAATAGTTATGAACCTGAACTTTTCCCTGGCCTTATCTACAGGATGGTAAAACCAAGAATTGTGCTGCTTATATTTGTCTCTGGAAAAGTTGTATTAACTGGTAAGTCACCAGAAATGGTAGTGAGTCAATAATGTATGGTTTTTTTTTTTTAATTAAAATGTAACATTTCTATGAAATGTCAAGAGCAACTGGAGATGGCGTGGATATGCTATGTCCCAAATCATGAGATCTGAAAAGTGTGGTGGGTGTCCCAACTCCCGCCTCCTCTGCAGTAATTTGCAAAGACCTCCGATGGTGACTTCGCTGTTGGGTGTTCAGTGCCGCAGATGAAGGGGAGTTATGCTTACCTGAACCTGTCCATCATGTTACTACTAGCCTTGTCATTTTGGTCCACTTTAACCCCTGGCGCTTCAACTGCCAGGAGCCAACAACAGCATATGCAAGAGTACAACGCTTGGGTTGCAAGATCCTCCATAGACAGACCTATTTCTCCTTAACGATCACTAGTGACAGCTGGGGGGCTTAACACTTTCTTAGCATATCTTCTGACAGAGTTGGAATTCCATTGAAATTCCAACGTCATCAATGTGAGTATTTCATTAAGATTCTATCTTTATTAAATACGAATTGTGGGGGTGACCGAGCCACTTTAAGATTAATTATCTTTATATTAAAGGGGCTCTTACAGAGTGCTTCAGCAATCTGGTTAACTGCACTGCAGGGTTGTCTGTCGGTAGTAACATTAAGTCATCCTCTTAGTCCTATACAAACAGATGGGAGCATCCATGCTATGAGCAGAATGGATTGTGAATCTGTAGATTTTGAAATAAATATTAAGATATAAAGCCTGCTTACAGGTTTTGCAGAGGGTCGAGTGAGAGGACAGCAACCTCCATCTTCCATGTTTGTTCTGCGTCACAGCAACTACAGCAAATGCTATGATTATTCCTCTTGTGACGTTCTTTTCTGTTCTGTTAGACGAATGCTTGTTTTAGACTGTACTGGCAATGAACACAACGCATTGACTGCTCTGGACTGAGATACGGGAACTGTGCGGGTCATTGAATAAAACCTGCTGTGTTCCTTTTATACCACTATCCTAGATTTGGGATTGCACACCATGGTAACCATGTTTTTTTTGGTTCTGTTTTAAGAATGGCGTGAGCTGATCTAAAGATGTTCCATATTTTCATTCTCTTGTAGGTGCCAAGGAACGTTCTGAAATTTATGAGGCATTTGAAAATATATATCCAATTCTTAAAAGTTTTAAGAAAACAACATAAGTGTTCCCATTAAAATCTATCTTTGTAGAGTATGTGTGTATATATACATGTTTTCTAAAAAAAAAAAAAAAAAAATTGAAGAAAAAATTGAATTAATATCCTGTGCGATTAACATGGATACAGTTTATTGTAATTTATTATGTTTTTTGCTTTAGTTTGATTTAAATTAATGTTTGCAGATTATACATTTTTGTGCTTATTGATAAAAAAAAACAAAAAAAAAACCTACTATGGATTTCCTCGTGATTTGCAATTGTCGCTATGTGAAGGAAACCGGACTGAATTTTTAAATTTATTTTGGACAACATACTTGCAGGGCTCACAGTCACTGCCGCGCTTTTGGTGGGACATTCCTCTTTTTGTTGTCCTGTCCCAATTTAGTTACCTGGTGTCCTGTGTCTGGGGACACCAGGGAATCATCCCAGAGCAGCAAAGCTCAAATGAATCATTAGACGCACTTTGCATGATCAGGCATGTTGGAGGAGGCAGCCTGTGCATGATGCTAGGCTGACACACCCCTTCAGTGGGCATGCATGCCAACTTTGTGTTGGGCAAGCCCATTATAGATGATGCAATGTGCGTCACTGGCCACCAGGGCTGCCATCATCAAAATTGATTGCCATCTATTTTAGGGCCCCTAACACAGCTCAATGAGTCCTCCCACAGGGCCCACCCCCAATTCTGCCCACAAAGATGCAGTGTGTTTGTGTAGTGGATGCAGCGTATGTGTTTGTGTAAAGCAGGAGTGGCCATGAGGTAGATTCCCAGATGTTGTAGGACTACAACTCCCATGTTGCTTTGCATGCCTTTAGAATTTAGAGGGGAATGTAAAAGGGTGTATGGTAGGGTGGCAAGTGTCACAAGTGGGGAGGTTGTGTTAAACAGAGTCTCCCAACATAGACTAAAAATGCATTTGGTATATTTTGCTTGGCACCCTCCTGCAATAATTCATCCCATGGTGGTCCAGTGTGCTGCTAGCACACTGGACCGCCAGGGAGCTCTTTTTATCAACATGCTGGCGCAAGGAAGAGGGCCTGAGCAGAGCCGGAGATTATGTCATCCGGCTCTGGCAGCGGCGCCCCCTCGAACATGGCACCTGGGATCAGCGATCCCTTGCTGCACCCACTGATGGCAGCCCTGCTCGCTACTCCCTCTAGAAGACATGCCACCTCATCCATATTCTATTTCTCTCAAGGAAGGTATACTTACTCAGGTCCTCCATGCACCCATGCTGGATCAACTTACATTTGGTCCATTCAGTGTCTATATGTAGACAGTGGAGACACTGAACGTTGGTCCTGTAATCTTTGCAGGACTGAACACAAGAGGTCCTCCTGGTGGCTGTCTGAATGACGGATTGTCAGAGTAACACACTAGTTGCAGTGGTTCTGGGGAGTATAGTCAGGGCTACCATAAGGGGTATACAGGTAGTAGTTTCGAAAGGGACCTGGTCCATGCTCAGGGGCCTGCATGAGGCCCTGTAGCGCTTGGTTCGTTTGGAGAGATAGCTATATCTCCCTAAACCAGACAGCACTGTCTAGCATGATCAGAGACGACCGCACTGGAGAATATGATATCATAGATCTTACTTCCTCCCAGTGTAACCATAGAGCTGCTCTAACTGGCACCGGGCAGTGTGTATAGGTGCGGAGATCTAACCCCTAAAAGGTAGATGTAATGGCACCCCGGGCATAAAAGGGGTTAAACGCCGTTTAGAGGATATTCCCCTTCCAGGTACACAGGCAGCTACCAAAGACACCAAGGAAACCATATGAATGCCGTAAACAGCCGAATAGGAAAAACCATACGAATAGATTTACATTCCTAGCAGTCGAACTGGAACAGCATACAATAAATCCCCCCCCAAGAACGAGACAAGGCTCCATGTTGAGGGTCAAGCTGTGAACAGACAGCGCTGTGGGTTTATTGTTCTTATATACACATTCTTACACATTAGTACCACCCACAGGATTTTGGAAAACAACTAATAAACATGTGCAATACACTCACACTCCCACACAAAATCCTCCCCTCTTCCTGTGATACAATTACCTTACACAATGGGTAATGTAATTATCACAGGCAGAGAAATACAGTTTTTCCACATTATTCATAATTTTAAAAGTATGCATCACATTCACATACTTACATTTTCAGAATCAGCATACTCCAAATACAAACGTACGTCAAAATCATACAAATTGGTCCAGTGGTTCAAAACCTAGATCGTAGTCCTTTGTGACCAAATGAAGCATGGCTGTTCGGCCCAAAACCAGTTCCACAGAGTCTTCTATCCTGGAGATAATTGGGAAGTAATCCAATTATCTCCAAGGACAGAGGCAAAACTCCATTAAGCACATGGCAGTAAAAAGACCGTAAAATACAATAAAATACACAAGGTTACATTTATTACATAAAATACAGACATGCAACATATCCCCAGATAGCTTAGGTCTGAGCGCACATTATTACTGAATGGCTCTCAGACCACACACATACAATTCAATTGCCATGGAGCCAAAGTCTTTTATTACACGAATAGGCTCCATGGCACAGCTATCTGGGTTAAATGAGTTCATTCAGTAAATCCGAGAATCTACCGAACGCCAGAGCAGAAATACATGAATAGACCTTTCTGCATAGGAAAATAAAGTATTTAAATGCCGGTCCATAGTCAAAAGGCAGCAGGCAGGCAACCAGGCTCCTCCAATGCACAGTGGCAAGTTTGGTCTCGTCACAGTAGAGGCTGGATAAATTTTATGGCCAGATACTATCAAGGGAAGAGGTTTGGAATCTGTATTTGTAAGTGTCTCACTGTGTGTGTCTTTGGCTGTATGTCAATTTGACAAAGTGTCTGGCTATGTGTATGTGTGTCTGACAGTGTATGAGGTTGTGTTTGACTGTGTGTACAAGGTAAGACACCTTGTGTGGAAAAATACCCCTAATGAATTGATCATCAGCATGTATGACCACCGCTACAAAAGCCGAAGTTTTGGTCTGGAGCATTTAGGTGTGTGTGTTAACACAATGCCAAGCAATTGTTGCTGCCCATCAAACTGAGATATGGTTATAAGGATATTTCCAAACAATTTAAATTCCATCATTCTACAGTGAGAAAGATTATTCAAATGTGGAAAACATTCAAGACAGCTGCCAATCTTCCTAGTAGTGGACGTCCCAGCAAATTCACCAACAGTCAGACTGCGCAATGCTCAGAGAATTTGCAATTTTTTTTAAATGTTAATGTTCATGACAGAACAATTAGAACACAGACTGAACAAGTATGGTTTGTTTGGACAGGTTGTGAGGAGAAAGCCTCTTCTCTCTAAAAAGAAAATGGCAGTAGAGCTGAGGTTTGTAAAGTTGCATCTGAGAAAAAAAAAAAAAAAAGACTTCTGGAACAATGTCCTTTGGACAGACGAGACCAAAGTTGAGATGTCTGGCCATAATGCACAGCATATCAGCACAAACCCCCCATACCAAATGTCAAGCACGGTGGTAGAGGGTGATGATTTGGGCTTGTTTTGCAGTAACAGGACCTGGGAACCTTGCAATCATTGAGTCAACCATGAATTCCTCGGTATCCCAAAGTGTTCTAGAGTCAAATGTGAGGCCATCTGTCCAACAGCTAAAGCTTGGCCGAAATTAGGTCATGCAACAGGACAATGATCCCAAATACACCAGCAAATCTACAACAGAATGACTGAAAAAGAATCAAGGTGTTGCAATGGCCCACTCAAATTCCAGACCTCCAGCCGATTGAAATGCTGTGGCGGGTATAGCCAGAGCTGTGCATAAACAAATGCCAACAAACCTTAATGAACGAAGCAACGTTGTAAAGAAGAGTGGGCCAAACTCCCTCCACAATGATGTGAGAGATGGATAAAGTCATACAGAAAATAGTACTGCAAGTTATTGCTACTGAAGGTTGTTCCACAAGCTATTGAATTCTATAGTTTCTCCATTTTTGTTAAATGATTACACGGTATAATATTTCGGTATAATTTATGTGTGGTTGTTAATCTGAGGTTGTGTTTACCTAATTTAAAGACTTGCTAAGGAGCAGATGATTGCTATTATGTCCTGATATGTAAAAGCATAGAACTCAAAGACGGTGCACATCTATCTCTATCTGTGTATATCTATCTAGTCTATCCATGTTTTGCATTTGTATATTATTTGACTTTTTTTCATAATTTTTTAAATCTCTCTATTTCCACGATGACCCAACATTCTCATATTGCCTCTGTAGTGAGAGGAGAATAACCTGAATCGGAGATTCGCAAAGATCTCCTTCACTGCTATAATTAAAAGCTGTCATGTTAGATGTAAATTCATTTCTATTATCACAAAAATGAATTCTATTTTTTTTTTTTTTGCACCCAACTTCCTTTCTTCTTGCTGTGGCACCACCTACAGGACTATTATGGTACAAATCTCTCTAAAATTGCATAGTCAATACATTGTTAAAACACCAGCCAAGCCACACGACTTACCTTTCCCACAGAAATCTTACATTTGGGTGATGTTAATACTGCAAGGGATTCTGGGTGGACATATGCAAATGAGTTAAACAAAGAACCACCGTTTTGCCTCATTATTGCATTTTGAACATGGATTCTTTGGAGTTTACATTCAGCTTGTCTGCATTCTGTGAGCTGAATCCCCCTTCCTTCATCGGACAGTTAGCATCATCTCCCATCATGACTGCCCTGATTGTAGAAAGCTGGGCCCGCAGGGTCTGGAGAAGTTCCATACAACGTCCATTTTGGGGAGATGCATACACAGTAATAAACTGGACCATTCCCCTGCCCAGGAGCCGTCCACGACTAAGAGTCCACCACAGACAAGCTTTTGGACAGAGGCCACCGTGAAAAGTCCCCCCATGAATTAGGACAGCAGTACCCGTAGACCTGCATTTGTTCCCTCCAGACCAGAAGGAAGAGCCATGGGTCCAGTCCTTCAAACGGTGGCGATAGGACTTGGAGAGAGGTATAGAACATTTCTGCAACATGAAGACATTACAATTCTAAAAAGCTAGTTATCCTAGCAGATCATGTCTACGCAACTTATCCTTAACACTCCTAACATTAATGGTGAGGATAGAAATGGATGCTATAGTTAATGTAAGGGGGGAAAGATATGTTATTGTCTCACATGACACTCAGTTACCTCCATCTTCCCCGTGTTGGCAGATGCTTATTCCTTCTCCTTGATCGTTGATGCCCAGTGGTGTTGGGGGTGTCTCCACCTGAAACAGCTCTGACAGGAGGAGTTGGAAGCTGGCCAGAGTTTCTAGGAACTGCGGCTTTGTGATTAAGGCCATCTCATATTCCAGTGCTTACCGGATTAGTTCCTCCATCTCAGATCCGCAAACTCTGCAGAGGAGGGGTAGGCTGTTGTGGGCCTATGGATGGGCTTGAGTCCACTGCCTCTGTTTCAAAACAGCTCAGCTTACATTTCTGCTCACAGGTGCCTCGCATTTTTTCCTCGAGGGGTGTCCCTGCAGTGAGGACAGGTGTCTGAAGAAGGTACTGCAGCATGGTGTGCGAGGGCTAAATCTGCTGCATTGGGTGAGGGGTAGAGGTGTGAAGGAGGGAAGAAGCAGGGTGGGGTAAGGTGTACTGGTAAAAGAGGGGGAATGGTGGTAGCAAGGAGAGGGGTGCTTTTCTTACCCTTCTTTTTCTTTGGTTTTATTTGGCCGGTCGTAATAGAAAAGCATACCGGCTGATGTACCCAGGGAGAAGCACTGTGGCAGATGTTGCAAGTAACCAGGGTACGATGAGTCCTGTCTGAGGTGATCATGAACCATTTCATTCACCGTATGTTGCGGTGGAGTGATCAGTGGTTGCTCATGTTGTATCCAGGAGCTGAATACTAATCTTGGTCTCACCCAAAACGATTACTCAGGCTCAATCCTCCCCCGATAGCAGCAGGTAGCTTAAGCCAGCAAGTGCGATTCTGCACGGCCAAGGGAAAATACCGAGCTATATCACTCATGGACAACTGTTTCGTTGTTAATGCAACTCATCAGCATGAGGTTGGTTACTGGATGGCTATTGGGCTTGGCATTACTTGTGGAGCACAAACTAAGATTTGGTATGATTGAAAAACCCTTCCACCTGATGTCAGTGGATAGTCAATACAATGTTAAACACAGATCTGCACATACCAGTCAAGCCACAAGACTTCTCATATTGGCAGTGCTGTTACTACTGCAAGGGATTCTAGGTTGGCATATGCAAATGAGGTAAACAAAGAACCATCTTTTGCCTCATTACTCTATTTTAAACATGGATTCCTTGGAATTTATGTCTGCTGTATACAACAGCTTTGAAACACAACTCGGGAAGAGTCGCAAAGCCAGTGAACCACTCATGGACATTTGTTTCCTTGTTAATGAAACTCGAGGTTTGTTGGTGGCTTGCTATATCTATATTACATAGTTACATAGGCTTAAATGAGACATGTGACCTTCAAGTTCAGTCTTTCTCACATCTGTTTTTGCCGTTGATCCAAAAGAAGGCAAAACAATAAATAGTTTTGAAACAAATTAGGAATAAAATCCTTCTTGATCCCAGAATGGCAGTCAGATATCTCCTTGGATTATGGAGCTATTACCTGGATATTGTCTATCTATCCCTATATCTGTCTATAACACAGAGTTCCTTGCAGTTCAGAAGCCGGATATCTATGAACTCAGGCTTTTTGGTTATGGAAGTAGATCAGCTGATGGAGCTCCAGGTTTGCTTGCAGTTCAGAGGACAGATATCTATCAACTCAAGCTTTTTGCATAGAGCCCTAGATTAGCTGATGGAGCTCTGAGTTTGTGAGTAGGTCCGAGGCTGGATATCTATCAGTTCATTTTTTTTGCATAGGGCTATAGATTAGCTGATGGAGCTCTAAATTTGCTAGCAGTTTTAAGGCTGGATTTCTACCAGCACTGACTTTTTGCTCATCAATAGTGAACAATCTATTTATTTATAAACATAGATGTCTATAACTATCTATAACTACTGTGAACTATCTATCACTATAACTATTTATAACTAGATATGATTTTAAAAAAACAAAGGAAAACTTCACACACCATAACCACAGCAGTGCACTGTAGTAGTTATTGTACCAGGAGTTCCTTGGTGAGTGCCCTCCCAGAAGTAGTAGTCACACTGTTTAGAGGGACACCCATAGGCAAGGCTGCCGTATCTGTAGCTGTCTATACATATCTATACCTGTCTATATCTGTACCTGTCTAGATCTATATCTATTGGGTCCTCAGATTTCTGATGGCAACCCTGCCGGTAGGTCTCCCTCCTTCTAAACCAGGGGTAGTCAACCTTTTAATAAGTAACACGCACTTTTATATCTTTGCTGATGGTAAAATTTCCTTACCGCCACCAGTGCCGGAGTAACTAATTTTAAAGCGTGAGTGCGATTTTTATTTTATGGAAAGAAAGGAGGGTTTTATTTGTTTAACTTAATTTTGTACAATTTTTTTTTTCTATTCTGTGAGAGGGGCTGTGTGTGTGTGTGTGTGTGTGCGAGGGGGGCAGTCAGTGTGTGTGTGTGAAGGGGCAGTCAGTGTGTGTGTGAGGGGGCAGTCAGTGTGTATGTGAGGGGACAGTCAGTGTGTGCGTGTGAGGGGGCAGACTGTATGTGTGTATGAGGGGGACAGTCAGTGTGTGTGTATGAGGGGGACAGTCAGTGTGTGTGTGAGGCAGGCAGACTGTGTGTGTGTGAGGGGGCAGTCAGTGAGTGCGTGAGGGGGGCAGTCAGTTTGTGTGAGGGGGCAGTCATTGTGTGTGTGAGGGGGCAGTCAGTGTGTGTGAGGAGGCAGACTGTACGTGTGTGTGTGATGGGGCAGTCAGTGTGTGTGTGAGGGAGGCAGTCAGTGTGTGCGTGAGTGGGGCAGTCAGTGTGTGCATGAGTGGGGCAGTCAATGTGTGTGAGGCAGGCAGACTGTGTGTGTGTATGAGTGGGGCAGTCAGTGTGTGTGTGAGGCAGGCAGACTATGTGTGTGTATGAGGGGGGCAGTCAGTGTGTGTGTGAGGCAGGCAAACTGTGTGTGTGTGTGTGTGTGTATATGAGGGGGGTAGTCAGTGTGTGTGTGTGTGTGTATGAGGGGGCAGTCAGTGTGTGTGTGAAGGGTGCATAGGGTCTATGCTGTATGTAGGTGAGATGTGAGAATCTATCTTAATGTCTCCCCCTCCCGTTTTCTGACCTTTTACCAGGGAGGAGGGACATAATGCTTCAAGCCCTGGTGGTCCAGTGGTGGCATGTTCACAGTTAGGCTGACTCTCCTGTCCTCCTGTGAGCACTGTATCGGAGCGTTGCCATGGTAACCAGCCTGCTCGCGGGAGGAACACAGAGCTTCCCAGGCCCTTCCCTCCCTCTGCTGTAAACAGGTGCCAGTGGGACAGTGAATGAGATCTCACGGCAAGGCTGGCTCTTCATGAAACGATCCCCCCATGCCGGCCTTGGTCCGTGGCCATCGAGGCTCTGTGGGCGTTTTCTGCAAAACCCACCGCCGCTCACGTGAAATCCCGCCCACTAGTGACCCCTGCTCTAAACAGTGTGACTGCTTCCTCCGGGAGGGACTCACCATAACTACTACAGTGCGCTGCCATGGTAACGGTGTGCGGAGTGTTCCAATATAATGTGATAAAATTCTAACCTTAAGGATCACTATAGGGTCAGGAACACAAACATGTATTTCTAACCCTATAGTGTTAACACCACCATCTAGCCCCCCTGGGCCCCTCATGCCTCTGTAAATATAGTAAAAATCTTACTGTATTCAAGCCTGAAGCTGTAGATCTGCATGCTGTTAGGATCAGAAAAACAAGCAGTCTGCTGACATCATCAGAAGTGGTAGCCTGATCCAATCACGATGCTTCCCCATAGGATTGGCTGAGACTGACAAAGAGGCAGATCAGGGGCAGAGCCAGCATGATTCAAACACAGCCCTGGCCAATCAGCATCTCCTCATAGAGATGAACTGAATCAATGAAAGTTCAGTGTCTGCATGCAGAGGGTGGATATACTGAATGTTTGGATGCATTTTAGGCAGCCATGACACAGGAAGGATCTCTAACTGCCATCTGAGGAGTGGCCAGTGAAGTTATCACTAGGATGTAATGTAAACACTGCATGGCGCCAGCTGTGGCCCCGCCCCTTTCTCGGTCTCTGTCTATCCATGGCTGCAGCTGTGGCCCCGCCCCTTATCCATGGCGCCAGCTGTGGTCCCGCCCCTTTCTCAGTCTCTGTGTATCCATGGCTCCAGCTGTGGCCCCGCCCCTTTCTCGGTCTCTGTGTATCCATGGCTGCAGCTGTGGCCCCGCCCCTTATACATGGCTCCAGCTGTGGCCCCGCCCCTTTCTCAGCGTGCAGTTCTTCGAAAACAAAGCCCCACGTGACAGCCGGTGAGAAGAAGTGTCATGGCGTCTCCCAGTGGGAAGGTAGCGGTTACCTGGCAGGAGTTGGTGGTGGCCCGCGTGCGGCCCGCGGAGCCGCTGGAGCTGGCGGAGGACCCGGAGGACGCGGAGGGGCTGTATGTGGCGGTGGAGCGCTGCCCGCTCTGTAACACCACCCGCCGCCGCCTCACCTGCGCCAAGTGCGTCCGGAGCGGAGACTTCGTCTACATCGACGGCCGGGACGGAGAGAGGTAAACGGACTGCCACTCCCAGCACCCGCGGGCAGCCAGGACTGCCACTCCCAGCAGCCAGGACTGCCACTCCCAGCACCCGCGGGCAGCCAGGACTGCCACTCCCAGCAGCCAGGACTGCCACTCCCAGCAGCCAGGACTGCCACTCCCAGCAGCCAGGACTGCCACTCCCAGCAGCCAGGACTGCCACTCCCAGCACCCGCGGGCAGCCAGGACTGCCACTCCCAGCAGCCAGGGGCAGCCAGGACTGCCACTCCCAGCAGCCAGGACTGCCACTCCCAGCAGCCAGGACTGCCACTCCCAGCACCCGCGGGCAGCCAGGACTGCCACTCCCAGCACCCGCGGGCAGCCAGGACTGCCACTCCCAGCAGCCAGGGGCAGCCAGGACTGCCACTCCCAGCACCCGCGGGCAGCCAGGACTGCCACTCCCAGCACCCGCGGGCAGCCAGGACTGCCACTCCCAGCATCCAGGGGCAGCCAGGACTGCCACTCCCAGCAGCCAGGACTGCTACTCCCAGCAGCCAGGACTGCCACTCCCAGCAGCCAGGACTGCCACTCCCAGCACCCGCGGGCAGCCAGGACTTCCACTCCCAGCAGCCAGGACTGCCACTCCCAGCACCCGCGGGCAGCCAGGACTGCCACTCCCAGCAGCCACGGCTTTTATAGAGAGATGGTCACCATTCCCTTCCTGGGGGGGCTTTCTCGGTATGTAGAGAGATGGTCACCATTCCCTTCCTGGGGGGCTTTCTCGGTATGTAGAGAGATGGTCACCATTCCCTTCCTGGGGGGCTTTCTCGGTATGTAGAGAGATGGTCACCATTCCCTTCCTGGGGGGCTTTCTCGGTATGTAGAGAGATGGTCACCATTCCCTTCCTGGGGGGCTTTCTCGGTATGTAGAGAGATGGTCACCATTCCCTTCCTGGGGGGCTTTCTCGGTATTTAGAGAGATGGTCACCATTCCCTTCCTGGGGGGCTTTCTCGGTATATAGAGAGATGATCACCATTCCCTTCCTGGGGGGCTTTCTCGGTATATAGAGAGATGGTCACCTTTCCCTTCCTGGGAGCTTTCTTAGAATATACAGAGATGGTCACCATTCCCTTCCTGGGGGGCTTTCTCGGTATATAGAGAGATGGTCACCATTCCCTTCCTGGGGGGTTTCTTAGAATATACAGAGATGGTCACCATTCCCTTCCTGGGGGGGTTTCTCTGTGTATAGAGAGATGGTCACCATTCCCTTCCTGGGGAGCTTTCTCGGTATATAGAGAGATGGTCACCTTTCCCTTCCTGGGGGCTTTCTTAGAATATACAGAGATGGTCACCATTCCCTTCCTGGGGGGCTTTCTCGGTATATAGAGAGATGGTCACCATTCCCTTTCTGGGGGGCTTTCTCGGTATATAGAGAGATGGTCACCATTCCCTTCCTGGGGGGCTTTCTCGGTATGTAGAGAGATGGTCACCATTCCCTTCCTGGGGAGCTTTCTCGGTATTTAGAGAGATGGTCACCATTCCCTTCCTGGGGGGCTTTCTCGGTATATACAGAGATGGTCACCATTCCCTTCCTGGGGGGCTTTCTCGGTATATAGAGAGATGGTCACCATTCCCTTCCTGGGGGGCTTTCTCTGGATATAGAGAGATGGTCACCTTTCCCTTCCTGGGGGGCTTTCTGGGTATATAGAGAGATGGTCACCTTTCCCTTCCTGGGGGGCTTTCTGGGTATATAGAGAGATGGTCACCTTTCCCTTCCTGGGGGCTTTCTTGGTATATAGAGAGATGGTCACCATTCCCTTTCTGGGGGGCTTTCTCGGTATATAGAGAGATGGTCACCATTCCCTTCCTGGGGGGCTTTCTCAGTATTTTAAGAGATGGTTGCCATTCTTGCAGTGGGAGGAGTGGCTTTCTCGGTATATAGAGATGGTCACCATTCATACCAATGAAATTTACACATACAAGACCAAAATGTGTTTAAACCTGTACCCCAGGTTTTCTATTTAATATTTGTTTTTACAGAAGATGTTTCCCTGACATTTGGGTTTATAGTCATAGATTGAGGTTTAAGCTTTCGTTGTTTAGATAATAGATTCTGCACGTGGCCTCCTCTTTCTATTACTTCCTGAAATGTAATTCCTTCTGCCTTAGTATTGCTTTATTTTTAGTCTCCTGGGTATTTTTGTACACAGAAATAGACGTAATATTTCTCCAGAACCTTTAAAAATAGAAAACTTGCATATACAATACTCGGAGGTTAATGGCCCTAGAACTTGTGTGACCTAAGGGTTGAATATTTCCTGTATGTATAACTGCACTGCTTACTTAAAAGCATTGACCATCACATTTCACCATACTGTAGCATGTACTTATAAACTGCATGCAGGAATTGAGATATGTAAATTTTAAATAATAACAAAGTATTTGACCAGGAAAGGTACATTCAGATTACTCTGGTTTTTTTAAGTACCTCCTGGGGATGTTACCTTAGCCCAACAAATATGTAGATTTTCATTGTTAAAGGTGTGTACAGCTTGTCTCTACATTCAAAATTGAAACTCTTGGCTTTTAACTTTTAGGTCAAACTTCAAAAACAAAACTTCACAATCTAAACAGTGTTTCAGCGATTACTGCTAGAATTAACATTGCTTGCAAGCTCTTTGGCAATTTTCTTTTAAAATGTAAACAACCCATAGAAAGCTTAAAGGGACTCTCCAGTGCCAGGAAAACATATGCCCCTCTCCCTCCCACCCACCATCCCATGTTGCTGAAGGGGCTAAATCCCCGTCAGTGACTTACCTGAATTCTGCGTTGGGTCAGGCTCCGTCCACGCTCCTCCCCCGTCGACGTCAGCGGGTGGGGGAGACTAATGCGCGCGCATTAGTCTTCCCCATAGAAAAGCATTATTCAGTGCTTTCCTATGGGGATTCCAGCAACGCTGGAGGTCCTAATGCATAGCGTGAGGACGTCTAGCGTCGTTTAAAACCCTTTTTGTGTTCTAAGAACACAGAAGCCACTAGAGGAGGACTTAACCCTGCATTGCAGTTTAAAAAACTGCAATAACTACACTTACAGGGTTAAGGGTGATGGGAGTTGGCACCCAGACCACTCCAATGGGCAGAAGTGGCCTGGAGTGTGTATGTGTATGTATATGTATGTGTGTGTGTGTGTGTGTGTGTATATATATATATATATATATATATATATATATATATATATATATATATATATATATATATATATACTTACTACTATTATTTGAAATAAACATGGAAGACCTTTGGCTACTGTTGAATCCTGAAATTGTACTAATCCTCCCCCCTGGACTCCATTCCCGGGTGTAGCTCTCCTTACTGCTCTCCACACCCTATCTGTCGTCACTGCTGCCTTCTCTGAGGTCCAGTCAAATGCTTCTCATTCAGAAACATTTGAATGGGCCAATTTCCACGCTCAGCCTTAACGGTTGTTTTAAAGGGAGATCTATTCATTATCTATGAAAAGGGGTTAACCCTTTAAGGACACGTGACGGTCATGATTCCCTTTTATTTCTGAAGTTGTGTCCTTAAGGGGTTAATAGATCCACTTCGGGTGGGTGGTTGAAATATATCTCATATAATATAACTGAAATCTTTACTGCAGGTTATTGTGGTATTTGGGTGGCGTGTGAATTGTAACGTTACGATAAGGATTGCTTAGTACGTTCAGCAATGTATTGCTTACCACTGTGCCACAAGATACAGGCTTGGTTGTGTGATCTGTGAGATATAGACAAGATAAAGATCTCCTACTTTATATACTAACTGCAGTTAGCCCTAAGTCAGAGATACAGTATTACAAATTGTGGTATTTGAACTGTTGCATGCGGTTGAGGAGGAAGTACCCTAATGATATAAAGTAAATTCAGTGAATACATTTATAAATAAATGCACACAGTTTTGTTTTTGTTTTTTTTAGTGACTTCATTTTACAATTTTTATTTTTTTAAATGCAAAAACATGGAAAAGGAAATTTTTAGAAAAAGGTGAATTTTCACTTCCAGATATAGCCATAAATATCTTATTTCATTCCCTCTTCTACTCCATCACGGAGGTCCCTATTGTGTGCTAACACCTCCTAAGGGGTTTTGGTTATCAGCCAGCTGGTGTCTATCTAGCCTTAGTGGGACCTTTTATAACGACCTGGATAGAATTACACAGCTGTTTGTGAATGAGCATTGTTGTGTGTGTGTGTGTGTATGTCTTTAGCCAGTGTTTGCCTTCTTCTTGGTACCAGTATGACATAGCTTCTCCACAGCCAGCCAAGAATCCATTTTCTGTCCTTACCTGCAGAGCTTTGGCTAAGAACCACCATTATGGGGTTATTTATAACTAAAGGTACTATCTTCATCACCAAGCTTGGTCCTATGTTTACCTTTGCACTTGTAGAGTGTGTATAAAGATACTTAAAGGACCACTAAAGTGCCAGGAAAACAAACTCGTTTTTCCTGGTACTATAGTATTAATAGGCCCCCCCTCCCATTGGTCTGAAGGGGGAGGAAGGGGTTAAACACTCACCTTTCTCCAGCACCGGGCTCCCTCGGCCTGAGGACTCTCTTCCCTCTTCTGACGTCACTGACTGCGCATGCGCGGCAAGAGCTGCGCGCACATTCAACCAGTCGATAGGAAAGCATTTCTCAGTGCCTTCCTATGGACGTCCAGCGTCTTCTCACTGTGATAGAGGCTGGGTTAACCCTAGCTGGACCTGGCACCCAGACCACTTCATTGAGCTGAAGTGGTCTGGGTGCCTATAGTCCTTTAAATGGGCTTTATACAGAAGGTAAATTTGGGGCACATATCATATTTGCGACATTTCTCACAGTTCAGATATGGCATACAGGATAGGGGAGAGCTGTAATTTAATAAAGGGATCCTAGAAGTGACTCACTGTTATGTAAAATATGTGACAAGCTGTGGGTCATATACAAACGTGTCTGAGAACAGTCTCGGTTTAGAACGTGCTGAAGTTTTCAGGGATTTCCTATCAATGTAGCGTTTTGACAAATTAGAAGACTACAAACTTGCCACAAAATGGGCAGGGAGCTCAGATGGCAGTGCAAAGATAGATTTTATTTTATATTTATCGATGAATGATGTTTCACTCCATATTTATACGTTAGATATATTGTTTGCCAATCTGAGCTTAATATCACAGATCTAGTATTGGGCACTTTTAAAGGCTGCCTCTAATCTCTCATACTCCCTACTATCGCTTTTCTGGGAATACTTTTAACATAAAATGCCTCTACTTTGAAGTGAACCTGCTTAGATAGGATCGCCTTAACAAATACCTGCTTCTGAAGTAAATTAACCAAGTTATTGATTTATTTGCGTTTGTTGTTTGTTTTCATTTTGTAGTGTTTGTTTTCGGAACTCATTGACTGTTGGATTATTTTACACTCAGTCTTGCCTTTCTCCTTCCCCTCTCAGATGTGATTTGCCCCCCGCTTGGGGATACTTGCACAATTCCCTCCTTTCAGTAAATTGACAATAAATTTAAAAACGTGCTAATATACATTCATTTGTACCTGTACACAAACTGTGGAAAATGTAGTTTTACTATTCATACTTAATGAATGATTCACATACAGGTTACCTGAATAAAGCCTTGTCTGTCTTCCAAATATGTAGAAAAAAATAAAAATAAATCTATATATTTTTAGTATTTATTGTTTGTTTAATCCTTCAGTACATTGTATGGTTATTGTTGGTAGTTGTATGGGAGGAAGTGTGTGTGTTTTTATTACTTTGTTTTTAATGTATTTCTGCTGTTTATTTGCTAAATGTTTTTACACTACCCCACGAAAGGCTTTGAATTGTTCTGTGTGTTTAGAGCCGCCCCTTGGCTGGCACCTAGACAGGAAGTGATGCACACTTTAATGATTAAAAATCTTGTTCTGCTTGCCCGGTTGAGCCTCATTCCATGACATCAGAATTTCCTGTAACCCTCCCTAGTATAGCAAACATTCAGTAGTATTCTTAATGTAACAACAAAAATAAAGAGTTCACTTCGCTGAAAACCAAAGCTCTACATAAACATTCTTGTGTCTGAGGACCATGTGTACATGCACGTCTGTACATAGATAGCATAGTATTAAAGGGATTGTCACTGCCCGGGATGTGCAATATTAAGATAACTTCTCTCTCTCTATTTAACAAATATCACTTATTTACTAAAGTGACAATTGTCAGGAATTCAAAGTGAACCTAGTCGCTAAGTTTCCAGTTACGTCATTTTGATATAAAATAGGAAATTCACTTCAAATTCTTGCGAATTCTCACTAGAGTGAATAAATCTATTTATATTTGAGAACTGTAAAAAATGTAATTTAAATCCATACAGCTTTATCCTGCAACTGGTCGCTTCATCTTGGTTCCCTGTCAATCATTGTTATAAGCTCTGTCCTGCGATTGGGAATTTAGAAGTCTAACATATATATATTGTAGATTGGATTAGCCGTATTAGTCCAGTAGACATTTTATATATATGTGTGTATATATGTGTATGTGTGTGTGTGTGTGTGTGTGTGTGTGTGTGTATATATGTATATATATATATATATATATATATTCATATTCTCACCCCTGCTGGGTGGTATGTTTATTCCTCATTCTCGGGTCCTCTACCAGAGGCCTGGGAGTTTGAGGGCTCTGTGCAGTATCTTAGCTGTTCCTAGAACTGCACTGTCCCACCTACTACCTGTTAACTCTGCACCCAACTTGGAAGTCACAGCCCTGAGTGCTCCGATCACAACTGGGACTACTACTGGCTGCACTTTCCACATCCTTTCTAGCTCTATCAGTACTTGGTATTTGTCCACCTTCTCATGTTCCATATTCCTGATGTTATAGTCACTGGGTATTGCCACATCCACCACGACTGCAGTCTTCCGTTCCTTGTCTACCAGCACAATGTCTGTATGGTTGGCCAAGACTTGCTTGTCTGTCTGTATCTTGAAGTCCCACAGGATCTTAGCCCTGTCATTCTTAACTACCCTTTGTGGTATCTCCCATCTGGCCTGAGGCAGGTCTAATCATATTCTGTGCAACTGTTTCAGTATACAATCGCAGCGACTTGGTTGTGTATGTTGTTCCTGCTAACATCTTGCATCCGGCTACTAGGTGCTGGACTGTCTCAGAGGTCTATTTGCACAGTCTGCACCTTGGGTCTTGCCTGGTGATGTATATTCTATTCTCCAGAAAAAGAACTCTTTAAATGTTGCTTTATTCACGTAAGGCAACAAGAAAGAAATGTACCTGTCAGCGTTTCAGTCCACACTTTCAAGAGTGAATGAAAACGTTGGGCAGATACTTATCTTTTTGTTGTCTTATGTGAATATAGCAACATTTAAAACTACTTTCAAATATATATATTTACTGCTAATTCCCTAGGTCTGAGTATAACTGCTAAATAATTCTGCTCTGTTTCAGGTTTTCAGACAAGCGAGAGAGATTAAGTCATCTACGGGAGTCCCAGTTAAATTTCCAGAAACAGTAAGTTCACGTCCCTTTTCCTTCCTAAAGCACAGGTACAATGTCAGGGGTGTGGAAATTAAAAAAACTACTTGTCCAGGGGCTATTAATTCTTTTGCCCAATCTACTTGTCCTGATACAAAAATTATTTGAATCAAAACAATATTTAAATAAGGTCTTTTATTGATAGTGACTCAGTGTGGGTGGGATAGGGATGGTGTGTGTGTGTGTGTGTGTAGGGCACATAGTATGGGGGGGGCGGCTAACTGTTCGGGGAGGGAGTAATGCTTCATTCATTTAACATGATGGTGCTAAGCTTGCAAGATGTCTGTACAGGGACGAGGTTGCGATGGTGGCCTGAATTGTCATTGGTTGCCACTTCAAAAGAGACTATGAAATATTCTGCAGCCCCAGGCCCCCCCTCCCCAGTCATCTATGGATTGTTCTCTTCTTAATGCATGAAAGTTCCTTTTATTTATTAAGAAATCCAACTTAAAGCTATAATGCATCTTACAGCTGTTCTTTTTTGTTTGTTTAGGTTGGTAAAAGCTATAGAAGGCAAACTGTTTGCTGATAAACTGGTAAGTGTCTTCTTGATTTGAATAAATTGTGCGGTGAATAGTTTTTCCAAATATGTCTATTAGGGATCGACCGATATTGTTTTTTTGTTTGTTTGTTTTTTAGAGCCGATACCGATAATCTGTGAACTTTCAGGCCGATAGCCGATAACTTACCGATATTCTGTACATTTACCATTTTGAAAAAATAAACTATTTCTAAAGGTAAATGTTCAAAATATACATGCCACGTGAAGTGGGTGCAGCGCGTTTAGACAGGGGAACTGTGTGTGTTTGTGTAGTGTGGATGTAGTGTGTGTGTGTGTGTGTAGTGTGAATGCAGTGTGTGTGTGTGTATATAATGAATGCAGAGGGTATGAGTGTGTGTGTACGTGTACCCATTGTACAGCGCTACGGAATTTGTTGGCGCTTTATAAATAATAAAATTATATATATATATATATATATATATATATATATATATATATATATATATATATATATATATATATATATATATATATATATATATATTTTATTTTTTATTTTTTTTTTGCAATGTGTGTTTATATAATGCAGTGTATGTGTGTACTGTTCATTATATAAACACACTGCATTATATATACAGTGTGTTTATATAATGCAGAGTGTATGTGTTTGTGCAGTGTGTGTGTGTGTGTATATGTGTATATATGTATATGTGTGTGTATGTATATATATATATAATTTTTTTTTTATTTTTTTTAATTGCAATGTTCGTGTTTATATAATGCGGTGTGTGTAGTATCCATTATATGAACACACACTGCATTATATACACAGTGTGTTTGTGTAGTGTGTTTATATAATGCAGTGTGTTTGTGTAGGTATGTAATTTGGGGGGAGGGGGCATTTTTTTTATTTAATTATTTTTTTTTATTATTATTATTTTTTTTAAAATATTTAATTATTATTTTTAGTGCCCCCACCCTGCTTCTTCCTTGGCCTGGGGTGGGGGGATATAGGATTCCCTGGTGGTTCAGTGGCATGGAAAGTACAGAGGGGGCCCGCAGAAAGCACTTACTTACCTTCCCTTCAGCTCCCTGTGTAAAATCTCGCAGCCAGCATGCCGCGCCGAGCGTTGCTATGGTAATCCGTGGCAACGCTCTGATGGCCGCAGGACCCGCGAGATTTACACAGGGAACTGCTTAGGAAGGTAAGTAAGCTCTTGCTGCGTGCCCCTCCAGGACCGCCAAGCTTGTAATGGGCCCGGCGGTCCTGGTATGTATTATCGGCAATATCAGTATCTCTTGGCCGAAACCGATATTGCCGAAAATACTGAATATCGGCCAGACCGATAATCGGTCGATCCCTAATGTCTATAGTTCACAGAATTGAAAAGAATAGATATAGAGAGTTAGATCTATAAATCCATACAAAGCAATTGGTAAAACTACTTTACTCCTACTACATTCTTAAAAGAAAATCAAAAGAGCACGTGAGATGGTGCCACTGCCATTCAGTTATGGATGAAATTTGTAGTAAATTCCTGACCAGCAATATGGCAAACCAGGGGGCATGTCATGCCACGCGATCCCTGGATTCAGTCAGACTGCTCTTTTATGGCGTGATACAGAACCATGAGACGGTACCCACAAGCTTACAATCAAACTAACTGGCAGGACGCAGTGGTTAAAGTTTTAGATTGACACTTTAAGATCTATTCTTAGCCTACTCTTTGTGACTATTAAGGGGAATATTGTGGTGGATCAGATTCCAAAATATTAGATATTTTACAGTACAGACAGCTGTAAAAAAATAAATAAAATTTATGAGCTTGTTGGGGTCTGTGTCCACAGCTATAAGCAATATCTGTCTTTCAAAATTGAGGACCCTGGAGGGATTCAATCAATGCTTTTATTTTTACGATAAATACTACTGGTCATGCTACAGGTGCTGTACCCTATTAATGTTTGTCACAGTATTTGGGGGAGAGAGTTGGTTGGTTTATGCATAAAGTAGTCTCACACAGTGTACAGTTAGCACATTGTGGAAGGCAGTGAATAACTGAGAGAGCTTAAATAACTCCGCTCAGCTGTTGACAGCCGGCCCTTTAACATGTGGGAGCCCATCTGTCTAGTTCAGGGGGAAGCAGATTGGCCGATCATTACTCCCATAAACCTTGGCCGACGTATTATGTAAGTTGGCCTTCCTGTATATCCCCACCTTAGGTCTTCTTGGCTAATCTTTGTTAATGTAGGGGAGATTTTGCATGTAGACTGTTGATAACCTAGGTGAGGGTTGCAGGGCACTGCAGATTAGGGGATTGTGGCAGTAGGCAGTCCCTCCAGGTGCAGGTTTTAGACTTTTTTTTTTTTTTTGAGTCTTTTACAAAATCCTGAAATTGTTGAGGCTTCTTTACTGTATACAATATGTTATGTTAGGATTAGTCTTTACACCACCCAGAGGTCTGCATGAGTAGGACTTGATCCACTATTCCTGGGCTTCAGCAGTATCCATTGGGCAACTATATAGGTGTTATATTTGTATAATATACTGTCCCTTTTGTGCCCCTTATATTTTTGTGTTTTGGAGTGTACCATGGATCTAAAACATTATAACTCTTGGAGTGCATGTTAAACCGTTAGAACCTATACAGGATGCATACACTTTTATGGTGATCTGCAACTTCTCAGATTAATTTTACTTTCTCTCACCTTCAGAAATGGAAGATAATGTCTTGCAAAATAAGGATTGAACAACTGAAGCAAAGCATTTGGAATGGAAATGAAGAGATAGCAAAGAGTGGGTAAAGTGTGTGTGTGTGTGTGTGTGTGTGTGTGTGTGTGTGTGTTAGTTATATTTTTATATATGTAACCAAGAATGCATTAACCTCACAAATCTGAATTCAGATTCTGGATACATTGAGTGATAAGTGATCCGTGCTTATGTAGTTACTAATCCACTAGTAACTACATAACCACGGTATGTAGTTACTAATCCAAAAATAAATATTCATTTCCAGTTGTTTTCGTCCAGGATTAGTGTAATTTTTTAATCCCTTAAGGACGGAGCCAAATGTACACGTTGTGAACAAAACAAAATGTAAACAAAACCTGGCATTTGCGCTACATGTCTGTCCAACCGTAATTCACCTCTTTTATATTAAATGCACCCACCCTTATTATATATCATTTTATTCAGGGGAAACAGGGCTTTCATTTAATATCAAATATTTAGCTATGAAATGTAATTTAATATGGAAAAAAATGGGAAAAAATAAGATTTTTTTTTTTTATTTTTTTTTTATTTATTTTTTAGTTCTACATGACATTTTAACTGTCAGTGTCATAATACTGTTTGGTTTTACTGCAATAAAATACACATTTGTTTTCAGCAAAGTCTCACGTGTAAGACAGTACCCCCTATGTACAGGTTTTATGGCGTTTTGGGAAGTTACAGGGTCAAATATAACACGTTACATTTGAAATTGAAATTCGCCAGATTGGTTACATTGCCTTTGAGACTGTATAGTAGCCCAGGAATGAAATTTACACCCATAATGGCATACCATTTGCAATAGTAGACAACCCAAGGTATTGCAAATGGGGTATGTCCAGTCTTTTTTAGTAGCCATTTGGTCACAAACACTGGCCAAAGCTAGCGTTAGTATTTGTTTGTGTGAAAATGCAAAAACCGCCAATTTTGGCCAGTGTTTGTGACTAAGTGGCTACTAAAAAAGACTGGACATACCCCGTTTGCAATACCTTGGGTTGTCTACTATTGCAAATGGTATGCCATCATAGGGGTAATTTTCATTCTTTGGCTACCATAGGGTCTCAAAGGCAACCTAACCAATCTGGCAAATTTTAATGTGAAAAAAATGAAACACAAGCCTTATATTTGACGCTGTAACTTTTGAAAACACCATAAAACCTGTAAATGAGGGGTACTGTTGTACTCGGGAGACTTCGCTGAACACAAATATTTGTTTTGAAAACAGTAAAAAGTATCGCAGCAATAATATCGTCCGTGTAAGTGCTGTTTGTGTATGTATGTATATATGTATGTATATGTGTGTGTGTGTGTGTGTGTGTGTGTGTGTGTGTGTGTGTGTGTATATATGTATATATATATATATATATATATATATATATATCTATCAGTATCAGTCTACGTGTAATTTGAGATATATATATATATATATATATCTCTCTCTCTCTCTCTCTCTCTCTATATATATATATATATATATATATATATATATATATATATATATATATATATCTCTCAAATTACACGTAGACCGATACTGATTTTATATATATATATCTCTATATATATCTCAGTATCAGTCTACGTGTAATTTGAGATATATATATATATATATATATATATATATATATATATATATATATATCTCTATATATATATATATATATATATATATATATATATATATATATCTATATATATATCTATCTCTCTTACGTAGACTGATACTGATATATATATATATATATATATATATATATATATATATATATATATATATATATATATATATATATATATAAATAAAATCGTATACGTGTAATTGAGAGATATAGATATTTATCTCAAAATTACACGTAGACTGATACTGATAGATAGATAGATAGATAGATATATATATATATATATATATATATATATATATATATATATATATATTATATATAATATTGTAATGTAATTTTTTTTTATTTTTTTTTTTACACTTTTAAATTTTATTTTATTTCCAGCCAGCAGGGGGACTACCTGTCATTACAGGCAGGTATCCCGGCCATGTGACTGTGAGGTCCTCGCATGGACCTCACTCTCACATGGCCGGGGGGGGCTGCAGGACGGCGGATCCGCCGTGGGGGGTAAGTAAAAAAAACAAAAAACGGAGGGCGTACTATTACGCCCGGCGGCGTTTAGAGCCGCGTAAAATAGGGCGTAATAGTACGCCCTCCGGTGTTAAGGGATTAATGGCCTTTTTAAGTAGATGTGGCTTTGTTTTTTAGAATCATCCAGATGTTATAATAAAGCAAGATCAAGACACTGCTCGATATTGGTTTTACTTTTTTAATAAATAAGATTGTATGAGCTTTATCTCTATGTACTTAAAACACACTCACCAAAACAACTTTAGCTTAATTAAACCATTTTGGTAATCAGATTATGCACCTGCAGTCTCACTGCTCAATTCTCTGCAATTTAGGAGCTAAATCACTTTGTTTATGCAGCCCTAGGCACACCTTCCCTGGCATTAACTTCCACAGCCATCCTAAACACACTGTAAAGAGTCATCTAATGTTTACACTTCCTTTATTGCAAATTCTGTTTCATTTAGAATTGCTTATCTCCTGCTATGTTAATAACTGCAGGAGCCTCCTGTGTGTGTGATTTATAGCTCAATTTACAGAGTTGGAAATAAAAACTTTTAAAGTATGTTACGTAGTACATTGAAAATAAAACCAAAACAAAAGTGGTTTAACTCCTAAATGGCAGCCTGCAGAAACAGGACCTATACACAAAACTGCTCCATTAAGCTAAAGTTGTTTTTGTGTCTATAGTGTCCCTTTAAAAATCTTTCTATTATACTGTTAAAGGTTTCGGATATGTGTTGATATTTTTTTTTTTTTTTATATATAAAGTTACCATTAATGTTTGCTTTAGATTCAGAGTTGCTACTTAAATTCAAAGACGACAATCAAAAGCTTTATCGGAGGGCCCAGTGGCATCAGGAGAAGAAGGACAAAATACAGAGGAGGACAAACAAGCTGAGTGAAATGGTCGAAAAGAGGAACCATGTTTTGATGAGTAGGCACGTGGAGCTGGCCAGTCTACGGAGGTCGTACATTCTCGAATTAACGTCTGTTATATTCCCTATTGGGGAAGTAAACAATGTCACAAGGTATTCCCAATTTGCACATCATTGTTTTCTTGTGTTGAAACTATTGTTTTTACGAGATTTAGGGATGCCATGTGCATGTTGGTGGATTTCCAGAACCGGTGCATGGTGATGTATTCCAGGAAACGTCCCAATCGTAACAAAGTACCGTATTAAATAACTGATTGAAATGTGGAATATGTAACCTGTTCCACTGACGTCCAGTATGAGACTGTTGTAGAATCTGACCGGGAGATCTTATATTTTGATTCCCAGACTCAGTTTTTTTCAATGTTTCATGCCATGTGACTGGCATGTTAAAAGCATATGGTATAATGCAGGAAAAGTATGTTGTAGAGCAAAATCTACCAACCCTTTTCTTTTTTCTCTACCAACCCACTTAAGTGACAGATACATTTCCAAGACCTCCATTTTTTCTTTTTACCTTAATCCGAATCTTAAGGCCCATTTCTTTGAAACCTTGCTTAAAGGAACACTATAGGATCAGGAACACAAACATGTATTCCTGACCCTATAGTGAAAACCCACCATTTAGGTGGCTTTCCCCCCTTGGCTCCCTCAGAATGAGTTAAAACTCACCTTATTTTCAGCTCTTCACACGTCTGCGGGGGCTGGCCCTGCCCCCTTGGTGACAGCTTCCAAATTGCCCATTTTTAGCCAATCCAATGCTTTCACGTGGTAACAGCATTGAGTCGGTTAAAATCGGCAAGGGGGCGGGGCCAAACACCATTTTGGCCAATCAGCACCTCCTCATAGAGATGCATTGAATAAATGCATCTCTATGAGGAAAATTCAGTGTCTCCATGCAGAGCGTGGAGACGCTGAACGGCAGGGCTGCTTACTGTGCAACACTGAGCCAGGAAGCACCTCCATTGGCCATCAGAGGAGTGGCCACTTGGAGGTGTCCCTAGAGGCAATGTAAACATGCTGCTTTTTCTCTGAAAATACAGTGTTTGCATGAAAATGCCTGAAGGGAGCTATTATACTCACCAGAACAATTACATTAAAGGGATACTATATTCACCCAGACCACTTCAGCTCAATGAAGTGGTCTGGGTGCTAGGTCCCTCAGGTTTTAACCCCTCAGATGCAAACATAGCAGTTTCAGAGGAACTGCTATGTTTACATTTGAGGCTAAGCCAGTCTTCCGGACAGCCACTAGAGGCGCTTCTGCGACGCTGGAGGCATGTTATTTATGCCTCCATCGTGCAGAGCGTAAATAGGAAAGCATTGAGAAATGCTTTCCTATGGACACTTTGAATGCGCTTGCGGCACTTGCCGCGCATGTGCATTTGGCTCCACTGACATCGGGGGGAGGAGAGGTCACCGGCGCTGGAATAAGGTAAGCTGCTGAGAGGGTTTTAACCCCTTCCGCCACGGGAGGCGGACACTAAGTGTGGGGGCAACCTCAGGGCACTATAGTGTCAGGAAAACCGCTTTGTTTCCCTGACACTATAGTGATCCTTAAAGCTGTAGTTGTTCTGGTGACTATAGTCTCCCCTTAATTGATTTTGGTTAATTTGATTACAGGTATGCAAACGTTTTACGTTCTAGGTAGTATTCCCAGTTTGACTCCTTACTTTTTATTTTTAAAGCAAAAATAGCTGAATGACTTTACTCCTCCTATCGCAGCCTTAAGTCCGTGTCCTTAAAGCATAATTTGAGCTGGCCTGAGGCACGTAAAACAAAGCACTGTGCCAGAGTTCTCAGATTTACCATTTAACCTGCTACTTTGCTATTTGGAATGTGGGTGTGCCTTTAATTATTGGCATGTCATTTAATCCAAATGTATGTCAGTACCTGTAATTTGTAGCAAATCTAAATAAAATATTTTGTTTGCATGAAAGAAAGTGATAACCTAGAAGGCATCACGTGCACCATAATAACTACCAAACATCATTTTCCATTTGGTTTGACAAAAACCATTGCACTCACAACAGCTAAAGCTGCCTCTCATCACTGTGCATGGTCTGACCACGATCAGCCAGCTATGCTTTCAAAGCAGCTATTCTGGTCTTAAATTTGAAATTTATTTTGATTTCTAACTTTAGTAAACAACCGAGTGTGTCTGTTTGTTTGATTCTTTAGCCTGACTTACAGGAGCCCTGTGATGCAATGATTGTGTATGTGTGATGCTGTACAGTTACAGCAGTGTGTCGGGTTTGTGTGTAATGGGAGTGAGAGTCTTGTAGGCTAACCTTGTGTTTTATCATTCTTTATTTATTGTTGTGCATAGAATAACAGGCTTTGCAGTTATGCCACTTCGGTAATAACATGAGAGAACATAGACATATATAGCAAAAAAGTGTGTGGCAATAGAAATCTGTCACCTGTTTTTAATGAAAGTTTATATATATGTTAGTAAACAAAATATTACATTCTTATAGTTAAGCACCGTCCAGATAATGTTTCTAACACTGTGTTTTTATAACCAGGGATCCCGCTGATGTAATTTCATCAGAAAGTGACAATGCAATGACCTCTAGCACCGTGAGCAAGCTGGCCGAAGCCAGAAGAACCACTTACCTTTCAGGACGATGGGTATGTGATGACCAAAATGGTGATACCAGCATTAGTATTGCCGGACCCTGGATTACTCTGCCCAATAATGGCGATTACTCTGTGTATTATAACTGGGTGGAGGAAAAGAAAACAACGCAAGGCCCTGGTAAGTTATGTGCTGGTGCTATGAAACCTTGTCATTGGCAGTAGTTGTAGAAGCACATATTACAAAATATCAAAGTTGTTCTAGGGGTTGAATAGTGTATAGCTAACATTTCTGCCAGCATGTGTATTATTCACGAAGTACGTACCTGGAAACTGTACCTCTGCTTCCCTGGAAATATTTCCGTTTTTAATGAGTAGGGTGTGTGCGTTGGGTACAGACAAGGAGTGCAATCAACGCTTCATGTTAGTAGCCAATCCCAACCACGGGAGGGGTCACACACAATGATAAAACCTTCCCAGTTGGTGTCCATTGTGTGGTGATGTAGAGGAACATTTATCTGTAGGTCCAGTAACCCTGCATAGTGTTTAATTCCCACAGGCTCTCATTGACAGGAACATTCCGAGCAGCTTAACCACTACAGCCTGCTGGCGCCCTCCCAGTGTGCATAGTCAAAACATTCTGCCTCTACCAGAGCTAGTGATTCTGGCTGCAAGGAAGGCATTGGCAGTCACCCAGTAGTACTTTTCTTACTTGGTTTATCTAATACCCTGGAGGGGGCGCCACAGGCACACCTGGCACCATAACCACTACAGCAGGCTATGGTCCCTGGGTGTTCTTTTAAACCTCAAAAGGTTGGCCAATAATATCAGTCTTTCTGTTTTCAGTTGGTAACCTGACTGCTTTTTGTTTTGTTTATCTGTAGACATGGAGCACAGTAATCCTGCCTACACAATAAGTGCTGCATTGTGCTACGCAACTCAGCTCGTCAACATATTGTCACATATATTAAATGTCAACCTGCCCAGGAAACTCCATAATAGGCAAGTATTTAACTGGGACACTGATCATCTGGAGACAATAGACTAGAAAACCTATTTTTACCAATAGATGTGGAACTCTGATCCAACCTCCCCCCCCCCCCTCCATATATTTATCAGCACTTCTTTTGATAGTCTGTCCTCTGCTCGGAAATGTTGTCTGTTGGTCTGTGTAATATGTTATATCATATGTAGGTAGTGTTTTTCTGTTTGTTTTTTGTGGCTTGTAGTGGAATGACCGTTTTATTAATATCAGAAATCTAGATAAAATCTACTTTTACCAGTTTAGGAGTGAAAGGCTACAGTTCTTCAGTGATTTTTAAAAATCCTTTACCTAACAGACCCCCCAATAATTGTTTTATTGCAAAATAACTCCCATGTTTCATGATTTGTGCATTGTCGAGATTATATGAATAGATCTCCTTACACACAATCTGTTCGGTCTAGTTTGTGAAGATAATTGCATTTGTTTCAGATCCAGATTCTGTTTTATATTCTGATATAACTGACAATTCGTTGTGTATTATATTTCTATAGTTTACATACATTCTTTTTCTTCCCTGCTCAGTGAGTTTTGTGGTGAGAATATGAACAGATGGAAGTTTAATCGCTCTGTAATTAAACTGAATTCCAATATCCTCTATCTCTGTTTTTCTCAGGTAGGTGGTCGTCCCGACTTTACTTTAGGAATGTTTGTGGATTTTACTGAAACTCATGTATTCTATATTGCGGTATGTTTTATAATCCATTCACGGAACCATGGAGATTAATGCAACACCGTTTTTCAACTATAATTTTGTTTTCTGCGCTGTGAGCTCATTTACAAAAGTTAGAATTGTCGGGAGTTGAAAGTGAATTTTAAAATTTTAGACTCAAATATTAATATTGGTGATTTTTTTTAAATTTAATTATTTTTTTTACACATTTTACAGGAAGATGTCTGTTTTTTTTTTTTTTTACGATTTATTATCTATACCCTTAAGTAACTCTTGAATGAAAGTTTGCAGCCTTTGCAAGCCCCCCCTACCTTCCCCCCCCTTTAAGTCTGTGCGGGTATAACACTAGTCAGAGACGTCTCATTGAAACTCCTCCGTGACTGTAACAGGGAAAGGCAGGCGTGCTTCACACCAAAGGTGAAGTGTTAGACAAAAATCTAACTGGATGCCCAGGAGTAATGGAAGAATAAAAAAATATGTTGGAAAACAAAACCAAACAAAAAACAAAAATACAGAAGTAAATATTAATGTATGGTGCTGGTAATCACCTCCTTAACAACCTTTTGTATGAGGTCTACTGAGCAGATGTCAATATTCCCCTAAGGGTTCAGTATTATAAAAATGTATAAATAGAAGTCCACAATATTGCAATTGCATACAGTTATGCTGGATATAGACTTGTATGAATGTTCATTTATATTCATTAAACAGTGAAAGGGCTGCATACAAGTCCACAGTGGTAGCAGCTAATGTAGTCTCTGTTTAATACAGTTCTATACTTTTGGATACAATGTAAGCTGATAGCAGTTGACTCCAGTTACTGGATTAGCTGGGGTATATTTGCTAAACTAGCCAATATAATATAGTACAAAAGACCAATAATGTTTTCCTTAGACAGTATGATTGCTTGGAAAATTGTAAACTGCTGGTTGGTATAATAAACTTTAACTTAAATAATCATGGGCAAGGATTTTAAGTTTTGAATAGTGATAGATGTAATAAAGAATCCGTTTATTAATTTCTTTCTGTATGAAAGAAACACTTTATTAGACACATGTAGTTTAAAATTCACTCACTCTCTGCACCAAGTGGTTATGGAATGGTGCTGTGTTCATTAGAGACGACGTGGCATGGGTCCTTCAGTCCGGCTGGTAACGGAGAAATGCTGACAGAAGCCGCGTGCGTGTCACCGTACTGCTTGTTGTGCGTTCCAATTCCATTAGACCTCATACAAAGGTTGTTAAGGAGGTGATTACCAGCACCATACATTAATATTTACTTCTGTATTTTAATTTTTTATTTTGTTTTCCAACATATTTTATTATTCCTCCATTACTCCTGGGCATCCAGTTAGATTTTTATCTAACACTTCACCTTTAGATTGCATTTTAGGGGTCCTTAGGAGGGAACCCCACTCAGTCCAGTAGAGTTTAATCTCTATCCATACCATTTTACTCTATACCTGTGTGATTTTTATCTCCACCACAACTACGTGCTTCACACCAGCTTTCTCACCAGCGGGAGAAAACCTCACTGGTTGTCTGAGTGAGCCCCCAGTTTCTAACAAAAAGACTCAAGACACAAAGCACGTCCTTTAAAATGTACCTTTAAATGTAAAGTTGACGTTGAATTCCTGACATTCTCATTTTAGTAAATAGCCCTTATAGTACAGACACCTGGGTATTTTCATATTTGAGATGTGTTTTTTTTTTTTCGTTTTAAACCTTTCTTTGGGTTTGTGTTGGCTAACTTACTGACTAAAAGTTGCAGCTTTAACCATTCATTGTCCTTCTCTCTAATTAAAACTTGGTGTAGTTAAAGCGTTACCGCCTTTGACGGTCTATATAGGTAATATTCCGTGTTCCAACCTCTTTCGGGATCAGTCTGTTTTACCTCTCTCCATTCTCAGAGCATGTAGCAGGATACCTGCTTCGGCTCACGGGTTGTGGTTTAGAAACCCCAGGTGCGGATAGCTCTTGGCTCTAGGTGTTTGACCTGTGGTGGCATTTTATTATAGGTGTGTGTTTTTTAAGTGTTACATAGTTTTGTCTGATTTTTACCACTTGTCATTTTCGCTGTTTGTTGATCCTTTTTGCGGATATTTGATGCCTGTCACAATACATTCACTCACAATATCTAGCATATGCTACCGTACTAGGCATTGAGTGAATGCAATCATTCTACTTGTATAGATCAGAAAATGTGTTTCTCTCCGTTTTGATAGCCAACACAACTTGCTGATGGCTTTCATGGAGTGCAGAGATAGGCAACCTTCGGCACTCCAGATGTTGTGGACTACATCCCCCATAATGCTCACACACCCAAAATGCAAGCAAAGAATCATGGTAGGTATAGTCCAAAGCATCTGGAGTGCCGAAGGTTGCCTATGCCTGGATTAGAGGTTTGTTTAAAGGGTGCTGCTAAGCACATTTTCTTCAATGTCAATAACTAGCTCTTGGGAGTACAAAGAAGGAATGTAGTATAAATGTCAGGGGAACCTGGTATGAGCATGGCATTAAGCAGACACTACATACTCTGTGTGTCTGCTATCCGTGATGACTGCTATAAAGGTGCATTTTCGTTTTTTTTCTTGACAGCACGTGGATCTAGATCTTCTCCATCCATTGCATACCCTCAGGAATCTCATGTATTTGGTCAGCGCAGAGAGTGCAAACCTTGGGCGGTAAGTCTGCAATCTATGCAGGAATATTCATTACACATACGCACACTCACTTTGCAAAGTTTTTATTTTATTTTTTATACTTTTAGTATTTGACTGGATCCTTCAGCCGTAGACGTACACCTTGGGTTACACAGTATTTGAATGTGACATTTATAGAGTCAGATGATGTCACTGTGCGAGATACGTTCTGACCCAAGGTGCATCGATATGGCTGAAAGATCCAGTCATATTCTAAAGGTCAGGATGAGTTTTATCTTCCACCCTCTATCTTTGACAATGTTTGGCAATGAAGCCAAATTTAAGCAAGGTTCTATTTCTGTAGCCATGGTAACTTACCCAAATTGCATCAGAAAAATAAATCCCACAGAAGGGCAAACTGCAGACGTCATGGGAAGAGGATAACACAATGGAGATGTCCAGATATTATAAAAAGGCTAGAAGTGGAAGACCCATAATGTACCATTTCTGTGTCTGTGTGGGTTTATGTGGATTTATTTTTATTGTAATTGTGTTTTCAAAATCTTCCCTCCGAAAATGCTGCAGGTAGAAAGCATACACAGTTTCGAAAAGCAACAAATGGTTGCAATTTATCGCACATATACCTTTACAAATTGTTGCATAAAGGTGCCAGAATGGGGAGTCAGAATGATAACCAAATAATTATATTGAAATACAAATTTTATTATACATGAATTTAAAATAAATTTATATTAAAACTTGTATCTCAGAGGAACACTATTTAATATAAGGGGCACAAGGAAAGGAATAGTGTCGCTTTAAAATCCGCTTCAGTGTGAGTGTCCCAATAGTGATCACAATGCTAGACCATTGTTTATCAGATGTACATCATGCTGTATGTGTCCAGTGCTGCCCATTAATGCAAAGCTGCCATAAATTCTGACAAATTGAAACCTTTTTACTTTTTTTGCACAGTGGTTAAAATGCAGGTGGAATGTTGTCTAAATATAAAAATATCCATTTATAACCTTTGCAGGTCTGGGCCTTTCGAAATAAGTGCAGATTTAGAAGACTCTATGGAGATCGTAGATCCCAGTGGAGCTGGTGAAACCGACGAAAGTGGAGAAGAACACATCAGTGACGAAGAGACTGATTTAGGAACTGACTGGGAAAATCTGCCAAGTCCTAAGTTTTGTGAGATCCCTTCGCAAACTGTGGAGTTAATGGAGAGTCAGAGCACGCTCCTGTCACAGCCAATTGGCAGCAGCAGCGCGGGGGGCATGATCTCATCAGCAGCTGCGTCCGTCACGTCTTGGTTTAAAGCTTACACTGGACATCGCTGACACTAAGCAGCCGCACCTCCTTACCAAACTAGATAAGTGGACTGAATAGTGGAAAATAAACAAAGTTTATATGAAATGATCTTTTTATGCTGAGGAAAGACAAAAAGGTATATTTTTGTTTGCCACAATGGAGTGAGAATTGCATGAATTCTACAGGTCGTTTTTGCCTAGTCTTAAATATTAAATGTAAAATTCAGTGATGCACCTTGTAACAAATACAAGAATGGAGGGGAATGTGAAACGCTTTTGATTCCGCTCTCCCTTCCTATCCTATGGAGTTGGTGCATTAAGCAGGTACTTTAATTATAATCTGTACTGTGCATTGAGCCATTATCTCCTAGGGAATTTGTTTTGTTTTTGTGTGCTTTGTAGGCCACATAAATGGAAGAGGATAGTGCATTGTGCTTTTAAAATAAAGATCTGTGTTGGGGGGAAGCATAGCACACGGCCATTTGTGGCTTTAAAGGTATAGTGTTGGGCTAAACCTCTTAACTTTGCTCTAGCTTTGTAAATACTGGATACCAACTGTCAAACGGTTTACTATATTTAAGCAACAAGGCTGGTGTGGGAAACAGAAGCAGTGTTTAATCTTTGTTACAGGACGGGGATGGATATCATTTTAAAAGGGAGAAATTTTATGTATTTTTAGCTGCAAAATTAATTCACTAATGCATAGTCCTAAAGCAGAATGGATCAGACCCAGTATACTTGACGTGCAGACTTTCCATAAGTTAGAATTAAATCTTAAAATTCCCCTCGTTTGTTCCTTGGCTGCCTTTTCTGAAGGTCTCAGGGAAATAGCTGAGATGTGTCTGCCAATACTGAACTTTCCATTTCTTCTGTCTGGGTCCCCTGTTAGTGAGGAAGTTCTTTGGAGATATAGTTCAGGACTTGCTCCGTGAATGGTATTTTAATATTTTATGAATGAAACATTACTACAAATCAGTGGTTACAGTATTTTTTTGACTCTTGATCACTGCTGCTCACTACAAGCTCTGTCATAGAAAGCAATGACTGCACACATTTCAGGTTACTAAGAATAACTGCAATGTCATTTAGTTGGAGCAATTCCCTGTAACAAACAGAATGATTTTTGACAGATAAGAGGAGATTTAGTTCCTGCATTTCTTCCCGTTGGATTATGGCTTAGTCCTCAAGGTGACTACACTTCCCATAATCCAAAGCCAGCAGCTGTGGGCTCTTATTGATTGCACAGCAATGTAGATCTTAGACACCCCTAAATAAATGTTTTTATGTAATTCAGACGTGTGGGGAATTGTATTCACTTGGGTCAAAGTGTGAGCAATACAAGCTGCTACAATGTAATATAGAGGGATTGTGTCTACATCAAACAGCATTTATTCTGTGTGCCAGTTAAACACTGTATAGTGGGAATCACAATATTTTTTATTTGCTTTATACACACTGAGCAAAGGGGTATTTAACAAACATGTTTGTTTTGGTTTTTATGAATTGTTAATTTGTTTTGAAATGCATTTAACTCCTAGATTAGAATGCTTACACTGGCCCAGTGACTCAAAGGGAAACCATCCTCAAAAAAATAAAGTTTTGTACTTTGAAATATGTATGTGTTTCTCAAACATTTCACAGTAAAAAAAAATTCTTGCAGACATACGTAACCGATAAGCAAGGTCTTTAGCTCCTATATGGGTGTGAATACAATGTAGAGAGATCATTTTCAGTGTTGTAAGTGTGATTCGGAATGCTTTCTCTCCCCCATTTGTCCTTCTTGCCCTAATAGCCTCCATGTATGCCCTCCTCCTACCTGGAAACTAACTTTGTGTGCCGCCACCTCCCCCCCCCCGGTGCCAATCTGCAAAGAAGATACTATTTCTGGTTGCTTCAACTGCTGAGCGCAGATAAGAATATGTTGGCATGAGGTGGGAGAGTTTTAAATAACCTCTGCCAGTAAGTAAATGGTGTAATGAACTAGTCCAATACTTGAGCGATCTGATTATTAGTGGGATAATGTTAAGTAAGGGGTTATACAATTGCAACATAACCAGCATTAGTGAAAGCTAATTTTCTATTTTCTTCCAGAATGGTGGTTGCACATATTGCCACCAAAACATTGATGGCTGTTAAGATTGTTACAGAATTTGTGCGATATTTTACTTTAACTTCATTTGCTAGACATTGCTGCACTTAGTGATATCCCAAAGAGAATAACCTGCGCTACCTAACTTTACAAACCTGATTTGTACATTTGCTTACATTACTGCACATAAGTTAAAAATGCAGACTTTTTTTAACTTAAGTTGGGTATGTAAAAATAAAATACAGCTAATTATTTAAGCCAGTATCTTCTTAGAATGTATAAGTGCTTTTATTAATGCCTGATTTACTCTTAAATTGATCTTGAATATTGCATATAGCTTAATGGTGTAGAGTACTTTACCGTTTGCGAATTCATCATATTCTATGTGACAGGCTCTAACAGCCTGCACCAAATTAACTATTAAAGTAACTGCCTTTTTAAAGGAACACTCTGGACCTTCTATAACATTCTAGCTTGTTGAAATAAGTGAAGGTAAATGTGGGTTAAGGTATTGGTTTTTTTTTTCCCTTCTCAATTTACGGCTGTTAATCGGATACTGGTTCTTTTTCCTGCTTTTAGTTCAGTGGAGAAACACAAGAGGACCAGAGCACCTACCTTGCTAAGATTGCGCATTGGGAAGTCCGTGATTGCACAGACAGTCTGGGTGGGGTTAGAAGGTGAGGGCTGCAGATGAGTTCTGTGGGGGAAAAAAATGCATGCTTGTATTCATTTCAGCTACTAAACAGGGATTGTAAAAAAAAAAAAAAAATTTCAAGTAAGTGCTAACTTGAGTGATAATTATCACCTTTTTAGCACCATCACCTCCTTGCCTTGCATGATCCAATGGGGAAGGTAGACGCACGCATGGTGCATCGCTGCGACGCGTCTGCAATCCTTCCACATTATTCAATGTATGGCAGACCATTACTGAATGCGCACGTCATAATGGGAGAGCTAGAAAGTAAGATTCCTGGCTCTCCTACCCAGAGGTGTGGCTTGACTTATTTAGTAAAAGAGGTTCTTGGGGAAATTTGACCTGGTGCCTGCTTGTCAACCCGGGGAAGCGTGGAGCCATTTAAAGACGTCACTCCGTTCCACACAGAGACTGATCTGGCACAAAGCAGGTTAAGCTGTTACCACAAGTAATGGATCCATAAATATATAGCATTCTAGTTTCAGCCAAGCAACTGTTCAATAATTCATGCAAAGACAAGATGCACGTTTCTTCTCAGTGGCACTTTATTAAACAGGTAATATTTGGAGGACAAAGATAGGAAACCAAAACCACTACTTAGCCCTGTTCTCTGCTAATGTCACGTGTTAGAAATATTATCCAACCGTTTGGTTTTAGACCCCTTGGCATCTTTCAGTTTGTAATATGGTTAAAACAGGCCAGTTTTTTTTTTTAATATAAAAAGGATTTGCATATATACATTATTTACAGTTACTAAATGCTCACTTTAATGGAGAGCTACATTCGCAATAAATACTTATCCATGAGCCGCCATTTATAATATCAAATGGGATCCCGGTATTGACAGATACTTACAGAGGTTTGTCACTTTTCCAGAAGTCCAGTGCTTACTTGCTGGAAGTATCTGATGTTAAATGTATTCCCTCAGCTGTAGACAAAGCTAGCGTTACTCAGTGTTTTATCACTTCTCCATTATAGCACACAGCTGCTTTTGTAGTTTCTGACCTTGGTTTGCTAAACACAATGATTTATAGGGTAAGTTACATGGAAACCATACACCAACACAAAAAGGGCGATCAAGTAGCTATTCTACATGCATATTATTCCTTGTTTAGACATGTATTTGCACATGCACTGTTAGTAGGCTAAAAAATGCATTGCTTTATTATCAGAATGTGATTATAGAATATCACACACACCATTTTAAAGGGACACTAGGCACCCAGACCACTGCAGGTAATTGAAGGGGTCTGGGTACAGTGTCCCTATTGCAGCATTAAGTCTGCCATTTAGTGGCAGCCAGGCACTGGGGGGCACTTCCTGCATCCAAGTGGAGCTTTGGTTCCGTATCTGATGCTGTACGTCCTCACGCCCCAGATTCTTCCCTATAGCCACAGGACAGAGGATGAGGTGGAGCCGCAACCCACTGGAGAGGGACATCGGTGCTGGGATAAAGTAAAGAAAGGCCTTTTAGCCCCTTCTTCACGGACTGGGAGGAGGCGGAGGGAGTTACAAAGCTGTATTCCTGGGACTATAGTATCTAATAGAAACTAATCTGTAATCTGAAATACACTGAAAATACAACTATGGCTGCATACACCACCAAATGTGGAGGCTGTAGTCATGCAAAGTGTTGAATTTAGCAGCCCTAAATATACTCCAGTAAAGTACTGTGGTTCAGCATAAAAATATTGCACCCAGTGTAGTTTCAGCTTGCTTATCAGAGTTTGTCCTACAGCTATAACCCATTTGCTTCGGTCTTAATCATTCAGAAATGGCTTCTACTCAAGCTCTACTTTTTTTAGCTCTGAAGTACACCCTTTGGCTATTCTCATTCACAGCAGAGACAGACATGCTTTTTTTGGGATAGGTTAAAATGTTTAGGAGATCAAAGGGAGTATCTACAGACTTAATTACATTCCTGTAAAATTTCCGTGCTCCAGAGTTTGCTTTAATTTTTTTACGACTTACTGTAAAGATTGGATTGCGTTTAGTCCAGAGCAAACGAGGACACTCAAATAACTTACCTGGCTTACTCTCAATGTGACCAGTTTTGAAAAGGAAATAGGTGACTGTTAAATCAGTTTTCACAAGAATAATTGATACGTTAACTAAACCAGACAAGCAGTCTTCCAATTTAGATTTACTAATGGCATATACACAAACAGCATCTCATTTATAGAAGAAAATATCAAATCATGATTCCAATGAGAAGATTAGGGTGCATGTACAGAGCAGGATTAACAATAAGCAAGGATCTTAAGCCTTCTCTGTGCATTTGCTTATTTTCTCCCCCCACCACCAAAGAAATAAAAACTTTACATTTAAGATCAGTTAGGTCTGCCATTGCGCTTGCCCAAGGTACCAAAATTACCAGAATGCATCTGATTAAGCAGAGCTTAAAATTTCAGGTTGCGATTAACTGGTAATCACCATTTATATTCATATCTTCACAGAATATATATTTAAAGATTTGCACAGCCTTCTTAAAAGCATATATTTTAAAATGTAATACCTCGATAATACCCTGCTCCAAAAACCTCCATAATTATAATAAAAGTGCTAAAGACAGGGTTCGTTTTAAAGTTATATATTTTTTTAATACCAAACAAGGAGATTTTTTTTAGGATGCACATTTTTATTTAAACAAACAATTTCCTCCTTACGCACTACACAATAAGTCACCCCATTTATCCACTTGTCACAGTATTTCAGACACTTGTGCTAGTCTGATTATATTTTTTGTCCAGTTAAAACAATCTTTTAAATGCTTCAAGCCCTATATATTTATTTTCCTTTTTAGAAACATTCTACAAGATATACAGAATTGATCCTTGGGCGTGCCAGGGGTGTGTGTACAATGCAAAGCTTTGCTCTGAACACTTCTGACACACTAAGGATTAACAAGACATTAACAAAACAAAAAAAAACAAACACACCATCACACATTCGCACACGTAGCCACAAAACTACCATAGCTGCATTGAAGATTATGCTGCATCAGCTAGCGATAGATCATATATTTATATATCTATTATAAGTTATTTACATAAAAGGTAATCTCCAGTTAAAGTGAGGATAAAGGCTCTTGTGTTAAGTTGTGTACAGTTTTTTTTTTTTTCAACCCTGTGAATATGATTATGTACAATGTAAACAATACAGGGCATGAAATTTATCCTCTACAAAACAAAATCTCACAACCAACATTAGTCTTCCTCAGATTCAGATTTCTTACAAATGGTTCTGTTAAAGCTGTGGCAAGCTGGCACCCAGCGATTGTCATGAAGGCCAACTTTGCAACCACGACTATCTTTAGGAGACACATGACAGCACATCCAATAACCAGGCCCGTACGGTAAAGCTTGGCAGTAAGGTTTGGGGTGCCACCAGCATAATGAGACATCCCCCTTTGCATACTTTTTCTTGCACTGCTTGCATGGATCATCTTTATAGCGTGGGTCTCGAACCCACAGTGAATCACACGGTCGAATGTCATAATGTTCAATAATAAATTTGAAATAACATGAAGTGCATTTCAGAGCTGCCAGTGTCCTCGTGGGGAGATAATGAAATATCTTCACTATAATGTGGTGAGGCAAGAATATCATGTATTGCTGAGGCTCCAGGAGCTGTTGGATTTTAAAGCGGGTCTCCAGAAAATCATGAGACACCTGTCTTTTTATAGAAGTGTCAAGTACCTGAGATACACTTCCAAGCGAGGATATTGAAACCGCATATTGTGCAATCAGTGAGCTATTCTGTATGCACAGAGCACTGCTAAAAGCGGTTTTCTTTTGGACCTCCATCTGTGTTTTTAATTCAGAGTTTACTTTAACGTGAGCATGATTTTGATTGTGCTGAAAAAATAAAGTCCCTGGACACGAGTCACATGACAAAGTTAACGCTTTATCTTGTGTGCATCTGATTTCACATTCTGGCAATGTATGCATCAATACATCGCCAGAATTTACAGCTGCGGCAGGAAACCCATCAAAGCTTTCACCATCATCAACAGCACAATCGGTCACGTTCTTGCTCTCTGCTACACATTCAACCGCTTTTATATGCAGAGAATATGTACAAGGTTCCACGGTTATTGAAATATCCCCCCTACTTCTAAATTGCAGACAGGTTTCCCTCACCAGGTCAAAGTCCACATTTGCTACATACAAGTCTTCCACAGTAGACAGGGATTGTGTTTCTTGGGCCTTAGCTTGAGGACAGTTTGCCCATGATTTAACTAGAAAACTAGTTTTATTATGCGGGACATTGGCAGAAGCTTCTACGTTTTCCACCGTCTCAGCTGATATAGAAGATACCTTCTGAGAGCTATTCGAGTCCAGTTGAGAACCACTTGCAAGCAACATCCTCCCAACATTTCTGCGGAAACTGTTGCTCCGTGAAAGCCCACCCGACTCTCGTACATTCTGGTGCCTCAAACACTCAGACTCAAGTTTTGCAACCATTTCCAAAACACACACAGATTCTGGCTGATCATCCTTTTCCACGTTGTCTTTATCAGGAGACATGAGTGACACGGAAACTGGGAGAGAACATTTAGATGTTCCAGGAAGCCTTGAAGTATGGTTGTTGTTGAAAGGTTTCAC